AATAAGCATTTCACCGGGACAATTTAGTTGCTAATTGTTACTGTGTCCACTTTCCACTGCTAAAACCAATATCATTCAGCAATAGAATTAGAAAATGCTCTTTTGTGCATTACACCGTATGTACAAAAGAGCTTATTCACTTATTATTATTATTTTTCTAAATAATAGATGATAAAATGAAAGGCAAAAACAAAGAACATAATGAACTGAAATTAGTTCATCTGAATTGTGCTTTGTCTTGACAAGGAGAATTTAAGTTACATGTAAATATCATATTAAAAACTGGATTGATATTGATAATTCTCGCTTGATGATGATGATGGTTGTTTTCTCTCTGAAAACCTATTTATATACATTCAGCTGGGCTTAATCATCACAGATGTTCCTATTTACTGACACTCTGACAGCATACAAAACCTTTCATGTCCATGCAAGCTTTGCCATTAAAGGTAATACAAAGTTTTGGTATGGGGTAATGAATTTGGTTCACATGAACATATTGAAAGCATATGTAATCCTACAATATTCAGTGATCATTGTCGCGGTTGAAATCGAGTCTAAAGTGATTAAATTATAAATAATAAACTCTTTATGTTGTATAGCGCCCTCTCAAGGTCAAGATATTAATTTAGCTATAAAACAATGTTATTTGACTAAAATCGACCGATTTGCTATTACCGTTTGGAATATATATATAAGATCTGCATATTCTGAGATTTGTTTATGGTCGCAGCTACTATCGTCTGGCCGTAGGAGCTATTTCAAATTTATCAAAATTTACCGGGAGCACCGGTAAATTTTTATATTCAATTTTTCTCGAAAGCAGAAGAGTTTTAGGGGCTAAATTTTTTAGTGCTTATAATACATCCATAGGGGCATCCAAATATATCACAATTGTAAAGAATCTCTATCCAGCCAATTTTCAAAATTTACCAAAACTTTGTAATACCTTTAAAATCATTATACTATAGATTTATTGCTCCACCTGTGCTAAGATGGCCTCATTTGTATAATCTAGTCAAATGGTGTTGAGCCAAAAATATAATCTCCAAGTAGGTCAAAGGATTTAAGGCTTAAAAAGGACTATACTGTACGTATGGCAATGAACTGTGACAACGCTTTACACTAAAAAACAACCATTGCATGATTCCTGTTTACAATTTGTTTACAAATATTTGTAGATGAAGATGTAATACATGTACATGTAGGTGAATTAAAAGAGTCTATTGAAGAGTAAGGACCAAGGATCCTTGAAATATTGTCCATAGTCCTTAACAAAAAAACACTGTAAATGCTGATGTCCCTCATGGAATCCCTTCTAAAGCACAAATTGTTTACTGTACTCATTGTGGGTGATAAAATCAATAGTAATTCCCTAATGATGCTCTTGCATGCATTGCAGGATAGGGGCTGCTATGATGGAGCTGTGAACATCAAGATAAAATGTGTGAGTGTGTGTATGAGGGGGGGGGGGGTCCATTAAAAATATTGTATATTGACAAGGCGCTATAAGCCTAAACAGCTATCCTTCATGGAATCCCTTCTAAAGTAAACATTGTTTACGCATTATGGGTGATGAAATTGATAAGTAATTCCGTGATCATGCTCTTGCATGCATTCCAGGATAGGTGCTTCTAAGGGTGCGTTTAAGCTTAAATTTTGAAGGCAGAATGAGCGATTTGTAACGCTCATCGTAATCGCAGTTCCACGGTGTACTGTTTATGCTCACTTCTCTGGCTCCTCCAGGCAATTCTCCCTGTGTGGCCTTAATTGGTCTTCCAGCTGAATTCGCAAACCTTCACTGTGCATGCTACGTAGACCCACTAGAGGTCAGTGCGTTGACCCCATTTAAACGCGTTTAAAAATTGTAAACGCATCTTTTTGTGAGTTTACGATCAGCGATCATGATCGCCGTTTTTCGGTGATTCTACAAAAGTGAGCATGGACGCAACCGTGTTTTAAACTAAACGCGTAACAGATGCCTGTTTCTGGCCAGAAAAAGTGAAGCATAAACACGCCCTAATATGATGGAGCTGTGAACATTAATGTTTAGATGACAGTTAAAATATGTTAGTGTGAGTTTGGGAGAGAGAGAGAGAGAGGGGGGGGGGGGGGGGGGTCTCCATTATAAAATATTGTACATGTACACATGAACAGAGGCTCTCCTTCAAGGAATCCCCTCTGCAATACAAAATTGTTTACGCATAATGGGTGATGAAATCGATAGTAATTCCCTGATCATGCTCTTAGCCTCTTTCATGCATTGCATGATACTAGGTGCTGCTATGATGGAGCTGTGTACAGTAAGATAGAGTGTGTGAGTGTGAGGGTATGGGGGGGGGGGCATTATAAAACATTTTATATACCTCACTTAAGAAATCCAGCCATCTGATTGGTCGAATTGCATTCATAAACTTCAACTGTTCCTGTAAAATTCTCGGTAACCATGCATAAAACATTTCAATATTTTTAATAACCATGGTTATTAAAAAAAGTTGGTCAGCGTCCATGGTTACCCCATAGGTTTACATGTTAAAATATGGTTTGAGCGATGGAGGATGCCGTATGTGTGCGAAGGATTGGTCGGTAATTTCAATACAATTGAATCTCGATCGATCTTACCGACAATTTTATCTTGCATTGTTGACATGAAGACGAAAATAAACTTCCAAAAACAAAAAAACAACATCTGCCGATAGATCTTGATCTAAGTTCGTGCCAATATGCATTGCAAAAGTAAAAGAAGAGTCCGTATATGGAGCTTTTGCGAAGCATTCATCACACGCGAAGCCGGTTTCAATCCATTATAATGTATATATTGGAGAAAACTGCCAAGCATGTTAACGGCGGGCCATAGCCGAGTGGTCTAAGCGTTGGTTTTCGGTACACCTTTTGTTGTACGCAAGAGTTCGAATCCCGTCTTCGACAAAAATGATAAATATTTTTAATTTTTCATTTTTTAGTCTATTTTTTTTCGGCATATAAAAGTATTAATGACTGCTTTAATATTCGAGAAATAGTTGTTTTCATACGCTCTCGGGAAGGTTAGAATTGGGCTATTCCCCTCGGCAAGCCTCGGGGAATAGCACAATTCTAACCTTCCCTTGAGCGTAATAAAACAACTATTTCTCTCAAAGCAGTCATTAATACTATAATATATATTGACAAGGCTCTATGTGTAATGTGTATGCACATATTATGGGCTATCCCTTCAAGGAATCCCCCAATACAAATTGTTTACGCATAATGGGTGATGAAATCGATAGTAATTCCCTGATCATGCATATACGCTTTTACTATGAAGGAGCTGTGTACCTACATCCAGGCTCAGATGACAGATAAAATGTCTGAGCCTCATATTTCACACATCGCTAGTGAAGCATGATTACATTACGCTGGTCATGTTCCCACTGGCTAAGTTTCATATGCATGTCAGTTCATTGCATGGCGCAGTATTCACGGTTCTCTCTGTACATACACCTGTACAGTAGGCTGACTAAACAATGTGTTTTGTTTGGCACAAATATTGTAACTACAGTGTACTGTAGCGCTCCATGTGAATAGCTCACAGTGTTTATGAAGTAGGTTGCAATGTGCACAACATTCTGTCGAGGTGAAATCAACTGTACTGTACTTGTAGTCCAAGGCTACAGCCCAATGTCATATGCATGTTGTAGTATTTTAAAGTAAACATACATGTATACTATATGATACAGACGAGAATCAGCAATAGAGAAGACCACTTTTAGAAATTAAATTGTACCACGTACAGTATGCAACTTGAATAAATAACTCATTCATAATTGTGATCTTACAACATAACATACACTGTGCCTGGTACAGAGTTCATGTGTACACCTGTATATTATGTTTATCCATGAATATCGAATATTCATCAAAATGGTAATCAAAGGAAAAGAGACAACATCTTTTTCTACAATATGGGCTAACATGATTACCTGCTACTCATAATTATATTCATGGATACTCATGATTATTCATTAAAAAAAAAAAAATGATTGCAAGGATATCTTACTACCGTATCAGATAGAATCTCATGAGTCTCTGCAATCTCTTTAAGCCTTCAGCAATCTCTATAAACCTCGTATGTGCTTCCTTCTTTAAACAGAAAAAATGAAATCTATCTGTACAATGATTGCATTCTGAATATTCAGTATGCCATCATGATTATTCATGAAAATGAAAGCAATTTGCAAGGGTGGTGTCTTACTATCTGAAAGAATCTCATAAGCCTCTGCAATGTCTTTAAATCTCTTTTCTGCTTCCTTCTTTACTAAAACAGAAAATATACTATCTATCTGTACAATGATTGAATTCTTAATATTCATGAGTACTCATGAATATTCAGTATGCAATCATGATTATTCATGATACTGAAAGCAATTTGCAAGGATATTATCTTACTATCTGATAGAATCTCATAAGCCTCCGCAATCTCTTTAAATCTCTTCTCTGCTTCCTTTTTGTTGTTTGGATTCTTGTCCGGATGCCATTTAAGGGCTAGTTTTCTGTAACTGAAAGAGGAAGGAGACAGATATTAGAAATTAGAAATTGATTTTGAAAAATAGAAACTCTTAAAAATGTAATAACTCACTGTCCTTGTATCTTTACAGGTACATGTACAAGATTAATGTCTCTTGCAATAGAACAGATCCTTTCAAAAAAGTCTTGTATCTATAACTTTGTCCTCTGGACAACATCTCTTGTAGTACTGTAAAACTGCTACACTTTTGTATATTCAACATGGAATCAAATTTAGATAAAACTGAACTTAATCCTCTCGAAAAGGCGAGCTCAGTATCCAGACACTGTGTCTCATACAATAAATTGATGCCCAGTCTCATAATATACCGGTATACATGTATATATATTTTTTTAAATACCATATTTAACTTAAGAAAAAAAAGGAATGATATGATTGTCCCAATGTGTTACTTGCAGAGAGTGTGGTTGGTATTTTGGTATAACAAAAAAAGAGAGAAAAGAAAAGCAAAAATTTAAAAAATAACAATTTACAGTGTACATGGGTACATAAAATCAGCAACATTCAGGCAAATACAAATTGTGTTTGATTTTTTTTAGGGGGGGATTCCCTTGCGATATTCAATTATATCTAGGAGCATTGATATCACAATTTACAGTGTACTGTACTCCAAAAATGCAAATCTATGAAGAGGGAAAAAGGGAAAAATAGAAGCAAACAAACGTAAATGATCAAGCAATCCAGTCATTGAATATTCTTTCCCTTGATATCCTGAAATAGCTTCAATATTAACTTTACAGTTACAGGTTTTTACTGTAGTAAATCCCAGAGTACATTCAATGAACAACCCTTCCATAGAACGAGAGAGAGAGAGAGAGAGAGAGAGAGAGAGAGAGAGAGAGAGAGAGAGAGAGTCGCTAATCAATTGGCATACAGGCAATTCCTGTGTAATGAAATCTCATTTCCACCATCCAAACGTCGTCATAGAAACCTAAGTATTCATCTGCCTGTTGTTACTACTCTGGCAAATTAATCTGAGAGAGATCTATATTTACAAATGTGTGTTACCTTGCAGGCTTGCACTGTCTGGAATTGCATTAAAAGCAAACTACCCATCAAAGTTAGATTTTGTAAAAATCTAAGTTGCAAAATTGTATTGTAATCTATCTTGTACGTTTGTACTTATTTAATAAAGCTTATAAATGCATATTGTTGAATTGGAAATTAGTAGCATTTCCCTATAACGGTATACTTCCAGCACCTATGGGTGGGAAGTTTGGGCGATTGGTTTAAAGCCAGGGTAATTAATAATAGTTATCAAAGGCTCCATACGCATTACCCTGGGCTGTACATGGTACATTACTATCATCTAATTATCATTATACAAGTAACTTACGATTTCTTGATGTCAGTCTCGCTGGAGGTTTTTGCGACGTTGAGGACTCGGTAGAAGTCAGGCATCTTGATGATTGTGGCTATAACAAACACACAGCTGGAAAGAGACGAAAGAGAGACAAAGAACAAAGAATTATTACACGTTCTTCTCACTGTTTGTCAACCATGTAAAATGTGTTGCAGAACTTTTGACCCCTTGTAAAGCAAATAATGGTGAATTCAAAGAATTTTTAGTGCGTGCTAAAAATATATGGCAAGAATATCTAGGGTACAAGTTCAAACATACCTGTACATGCTCATGTGCAAAACTTACAGTACATGTACACCTATAGGCCTACACAAGAACTCAAAGTTTCCTAGCACTTAATAAAACATGAGCAGCAAAATGAAGTACATATGTACATGTAAAGTTGAAGTGTGCTAACTTTAAAGATGATTTTTGGATTGATGCGTGGTCAATTTAGTCATCTGAAACTAGGCCTACACTGTACTGGCTGTGTCTGTGTTCAATTTTCCAAAATAACCTGGGCCCCGTCTTTGATATTTAAGAGTTGATATCAATCGCAACTTATCTGGATTGATATCAATTAGTGCTGTAACATCACGGATATCTCCAATTCGGTTTAACCGCCAGTCAAAAGCCAGGTCCGTGTGAAAAAGCGGGAAGGACTTTCATTTAACCGCGAGGTGTATTTGAAGGTGCCGATTTGTGCTTGTGAACTTGTCACAAATAATTAGTAACAATGTCATTATTAGAAGAATGTGTAAGATCATTAATGTAAATTAAAAACAGTAGAGGTCCTAGGATAGAACCTTGTGGTACAGTTTGAGATCTACAGTATTACAAAGATTACTTTCAAACCAAGATGACAGACAAATTGGAGTGTTGTTCTAGTTTCGGAGTGGTGAGTCAACACACAGGTTACTGAGCTGGGAGACATTGACAGGCATAGTGCCAGGTGGAGGGGCCTAAATCGAAACTTTAAAAAAATTATTTAAAAAAAAAAATAAAAAAATAAAAAAAAATGGGAAAACGAAACCGTCCAATTGAAAACGGAATCCGCCATGGGCGGTCAGATCGGACGGTTAAACGTTTGACTACAGCACTAATATCAATCACAACTACACTGTAGTATGTATATGTGTACAGTGTACATTTAAGAGATAGGGGACTGCAAACTTGCAATTGATTAATTAATACAGGACTTGCGATTGATTTGGATCAATTGTAACTCTTGAGACAGGGTCCAGGTCATACAAAATTAGGTGAATTATAGAAGTGTACCATCTACACAATACACAATATCAACAAGTACAAAGAAAGTTTGCCTTGAGTAAACACATCATGTATTGTAGTTGTTCTTGTTTCACCAACAACTTCGTTCACAGCATTGTGTGACCTACATGTACATTGTAGGCACTGCACAGACAGTGTAAATAAACACAGTCATCATGCACGTAACACCAAAGAGATACAGGGTACACATTAAAAGTACTGTAGTAGAGCAGCATTCCTTGGTGTTTATAGTGAGCTAGGTGTTAGAACTTCAAAGAGCTAGATCAAACAGGAAATCGTTATTCCAACAATTGTAGGCCTATATTAATTAGTAGATTTATTCATTTCCTACATGTACATGTACTATGATTTTTAAACACATACCGGTACTGCTTATTTTAAAAGAAAACAACTCTTTTGGTAATTCACTGGCAAATAACAATTTTTAAAATGTATAGATCTTTGGATACTGTAGATGGATACATTTATTTTGATGGCAGCAGTTGGTTATTGAACAATTGAACTCTTGCAAACAGCATAAATAGTTTGCAACTTATATTCTTTATAGGCAAGAGAGCTTTTAAAAAGGCATGCAACTCCATAAATTCTATAGTGAGCCCTGCATGCTATCAGTTGATACACATTGAATCGAGGCTCAAAATTTCATTTCAGCTACATCAAGAGCGGCCTCCATAGACCATAGGAATGAAATCAAAAGCAATAAGATTCTAAATGTCCTACAAAATCTCTGCGACAGTTACCGGTATATGCATTTTATTGCATTCCGTGTCATCCATCCGCTGAGAACTAGAAAGGGTTCAACCCTGTTATAAATGATACAAATTTACGCCCCTCTGACACCGAGTTTGATCTTTCCAGATATTTCCAAATTGCAAGAGAGATTACGTTTTAATAATGTCACCAGTTCTTGCTCATGTCAAAGTGGTAATATTGCAATTATTTGTTGCAATTGATGTGAAACCCAGTAATTGCCCATAAAATGCACAATGCCCAAGTAGTGTTGAGCACAGCAGAAAAACATTCAACGATTCGGCCCTACAATGCATACAGCGTACATGTGTGTAGATTTTTTTATCAGCCCCCCACATATACGATAACAGCAGAGTGCATGAGCCGACTTTAATCATACCCCTTGTACAGGGTGTATATGTAAATTTTGTGATTTTTGTGTTTTTCATTTATAACTCAAGAATAAAAGGTAGAATAAATCAGGGCCTTTGTTGAATGATTTTTGATGTTAATCTACATGTAAGATTTAATATGCCACATTCTCAGAAAACATTACCGTAATCAGACAAAAGTTCACCCTGATAATATTATTTTTTCTTCTTTCAATAGCATGTATACCGGTAGGCCTACTGAAGACTTTCATTTCACATTCATATCAAAATATCATACAAAGTCATATAGACCCTACATGTACATTAGGAAGTCTAAACAAAGGTTTACCGGGAATCTTTGTGATAATTCCTGATATTATTAAGTTGGTTTTGATAGAAGCAGAATAATGGGAGAAACATACATGTCAGTGAAAGTTTGAGCAAAGAACAATTAAATTTAAAAATACGAGTTTTGAAGGTGCGATCAGTAAAACGCAAATTGGCAACACTGTGCCGTGTCTTGCAAGCAACCCTTCCATTCGTCCTGTACTACAAAATAGAAAATTAAATAAATTTCCCTTTAAAAATGTTCAATCATAGTAGCCTATTCATACGTTCACGCTAATTATAATTATAGCAAATGACGTGTTTTTATACAACCACTGTACTAAAACAAATCTATTTTATCATACAATTAAAGTTTATGAAAGTGATGAATTTTTACCCGTTTTACTTTTATTAGATGAAAAATTTGTCTTTCATCTAGACCCTACTTTCTAATTCTAGCCTGTTGAAACAGAAGTGAAACAAGTGTTGTATTTACTTTCTAAATAAAGGCCTATTAAATTCAGAATCATCTAACAAGTTTCCCTACTTTCACCCCCCCCCCCTCCCCTTGTTAACAAAATAATAAGAAGAAAATAAAGATAGACCTTCCCTCACTATGAACATGACAGACAATGAACGCGGACAAAATATACAGTTCCTCAGGTAGACAAAGAGACATCCCTTCACTGCTATTATGTAAAAATGTGTAGAACAGGTGTCACATGCATATTCACCTGTTCTACACATTTTCACATAATAGCAGTGAAGGGATGTTCCATTGTCTACCTGAGGAACTGTATATTTTGTCCGCTTTCATTGTCTGTCATGTTCATAGTGCCTACATTTCATATAAATCATATTCATAGTTTTATAAATTGACTGTTCTATATTCCATGACCGTCTCTGCACTGCATAATCCATCCTTATTCCATCCCTCTCTCCAGCTCCGCAAGAACCTCAAATGTTTATGCATGCAATATTATCTCATCATTATGGTTTTGAAACCCAAAACACAATTACCGGTATCTGAAAATGAAACATGAGCTACATACATGCATGCATGTACAATGGCAAGCCAGTGATCTGATCATTATGCACACAATGTATGCACACAATGCAATGCCGACGTACAGGCAGAACACTCCAGCTACACTTACCGAAATGTCGCACTCGAATTGTCTGGATCAGAGCCCTTTTGCTGGGCTTAAGAATGGCTGAGCTCCAGATTATTTGTTGAATAACCGTGAAAAACAATCGCAAAATTTGATTCCAATCAAAACATGGAGATTTTCAGGTGATTTGACGGAGTTTATCCATTTGTGCGGCGACAGAAAAACGACTAGCAACGTATTCCTTTAGTCACGAATTCCTGAGCGGCTAAAAATGGCATGTATTGCATTCCTCCTCGAAACCCTGCGGCCCCTGTCGGGTCAGCTGCTTGGATCGGTCGGTCCCTTCCGTACGGAAGGAATGCTGCATTCTAATGCGGTGAACGCACGGAAGCTTTATGATCCTATCATTGAAAGATGATCGCTGGAGCTGAAAGTTGAGCTCTCGTGAGTGCGAGATGGTGGAGTCGCAAAACCAAAAAACAATTAGTTCATTAGGAAGAGGAAGACAAACAAATCCCTGATGCCATCCGATTCTTCTTCTATTTCTACTTTTCAGACTTACAGCATAATTATTTCATGCTGTATTTAATTGATAATTGGGTAGGACGTATGGCTAATGCTGTTCAAACCCTCTTCATCTATCAAACCCATCAAACACAATAATGTGACCCAGATGATGATGTTGATGACTGCAGGGTGGAGACTGGAGATCCAGGAGATTCTGGGTCGATGACTCATTCTCTCCAAGTATTTCATATACTTGGCAGGCAATAAGACCACCCCATGTCTCTTTCTTTCTCTCTCTCTCCCTCTCTCTCTCTCTCTCTCTCTCTCTCTCTCTCTCTCTGTATCTTTTCCCCGATGTGTCTCTTAATATCTTTGTTTATTTCTGTTTTGTCTTTATCTCTTTGTATAGGCCCTACTATATTTTTTTATCTGATAATGATTTACAATAAAGGGGCACCTAATATCATACAAAGGGAAACGTCAAAGCAAAATTTTACAATTTTTAGACATTGGTAGGCCCTTGTGTTAGATTATCAGAGATTATCATTGTTTGTTTCGCTTTAGGTCCTATGATAATGAGCACTATTTTTTGTCCTTCTATTTTGACGCCGAAAATGTGAAAATCGCGCTGGTCGACAATGAGCGCTTTTTCTAAATTTCATTTTTTTACTAAATCCCCCCCCCCCCCCCTTGAGCAAAAAAGAAAATGTAATTTTTCTGGTCACAATTTATATTATTTACCCCTTTTTTTTGCTGGTCCTTTTTGGTGTGTGGACAGGGCCCGGGGGGGGGGGGGTGTTAAGTAAAACAAAATTAAAAAGCGCCCGCTCACCCCCCCCCCCCCCCCCTGGATCCGCGCCTACCTGATAAAGGGGCACTCTCCTCGGATAAAAAAAGGCACTTGTGAAAACGGAGAAGGAGCAATTATCAGAAGGAAAATGACACTGATTGATTGATTGATTGATTTTTATTCGACAAGCTTCCAACATACAACAATATACAATAATAACAGATCAAAAAAAGTCAGCTTGAACAGGATAACCCACGAAAGCTCGAGAGCTTATTTCCAGTGGGGTCCCTTACAGACATGTATAAAATTAATAAGTTAAAATAGTAATATTTACAGACGGATAAGAAAATTAAAAGAACTACTTATTAAAGATAATAATAACAACATTTAAACTGATGATAGAAATGATATTAAGTACAAGAAGAAAAAGAAGAAGGAGAAGAAGAAAAAGAGGAGAAGGAAGAAGAGGAAAATAATGATGAATTTGTAGAAATTCTATAACGTACGAAAACATAAGTATATACAACATGAAAAAGTATGAACCGACAGAAGAATAAAAATTTCAATCATATAACATGTCATTCACTTCTCTTCTCTGACTGTCAAGTATTAGGTATTCCTTTAATTTCCTCTTAAAATGATCATAGTTTCCTATTTCTTTTACACCATTGGGAAGGGAATTCCAATGTTTTATGGCATTGTAATAAAACGAATTTCCAATACTACCTACTCTTTCAGGTAAGTTAAAGTTGAATCGTCTATTTCTTGTATTATAATCATGTACGTCAGTAACAAGATCGAAGTTGGATCGAATATAATGATTCGACCTAGTATGGTATATTTTATGCACATGATGCAATACGAGTTGTTTTGATCTTTGGTCGACTTCAAGAAAACCAGCTTTAGAAAGTTCGCTGTATAGCCAACATGAGTTCTTGGACCAGAACAGTTGATAAATCTCACCATTTTGTTCTGTATAATCTTCAACTTCTTTTGATCTGACTTGTTTATGTTACTATACCATGCAGGGTTAGCATAGTCAAATAAACATTGAATAAGAGCAAAACAGAGTGTACGTCTTGCTTTTAAATCCATACAACTTTGATATCTGTACAAAAATTTCAGACGAGAATTTGCTTTTTTTACAACTGATTCTACTAAAGATGAAAATGAAATTGCGCTAGCCAACTCAATGCCTAAATACTTCACAGACTCTTTTCTCTTGATTGCTTGATTATTGTGTGTCACTTTGAATTCAAATGACTTTTTAGAACTACTTTTAGAACAAAATAAAATGCTTTCTGTTTTTCCCAAGTGTAAAGAAAGCTTATTATCAGTCATCCAATCGACACACGTAGACAGCTGTTCACTGAGCTTTTCCTCAATATATTTAGGATCAGGATTTGAATAGAGTAGTACGCTGTCATCTGCGTACAATAATAGTTTGAAGTCTTTTATACAAATACACATATCATTTATATAACTTGAAAATAGAATTGGGCCTAAAATGCTTCCCTGAGGAACACCGCAAGTTATAGGCATTAGTTTGGAACGAATATCATGAATGGCCACTACTTGGTGCCGATTAGATAAGTAGGATCTAAACCAATCTAAACTTGCCTTATCAAAACCCATTAGTTGTAACTTCTTCAATAAGACGCAATGATTAACTGTATCAAAAGCTTTTTGCAGATCAAGGAGCACCATACCAACAAAGCGCCCTTGGGAAGTTTCTCTCCTCAAATAATCAGTCAAATGAATTAGACATGTTTCAGTCGAATAATCATGTCGAAAACCAGATTGAAATTCATAAATTATATCATTTTCTTTGAAGTATCTTTCAATTTGAACACAGACCGATTTTTCTAGAATCTTTGATGCTACGCTTAAAACACTAATAGGTCTATAGTTGCTAACATCAGTTTTATCTTTCTTTTTATAAAGTGGAGTCACTTTTGCTATTTTCATATCCTCTGGAAAAGTACTCGTCAAGATAGATAGGTTCATTAAGTAACTTAGAGGCTTAAATAAAACCTTCGCACCATCTTTTAGAAATTTAGCTGGAATCAAGTCTAACCCAGTACTTTTTGATACATTCAACTTACGTAACTCTTTGAAAACAAATTGTTCACTGATTGGTAATAACTCGAAGCTGTTTTCACGTACACCTTTTATTTCGTAAAAGTCACGAATACAATCATTGTCTGCGCTGAAAAAGTCTTTGGAAGGGGGGAGTTTGTCTACTAATTTGGCAGCCACATTTGTGAAATGAGAATTGAATTCATCAGCGATGGCCATCTTATCATGACATAATTCCCCATCAATTTTAATGACAGATTCTTGTTCTTTTCGCTTCTTATTTTTCAATCCTAAGCTTTTTAGATTCTGCCAAAGTTTTTTCGAATCTTGTTTATTTTCTTCTATCTTGTTTTGTAAGTAAACGAGTTTAGCCCTTTTCACCTCTCTTTGGACCATATTTCTTAATACTCTGTATCTTTTATAGAGCTTCTCATCTTTTGCTCTTTTCCTCCATTTTTTGTATACTATATTTCTCTCTTGAATTAGGGAAAGAATATCTTTAGTCACCCAAGTTTCTGATCTTTGTTTTATTCTTATCCGTTTCAGTGGCGCTATCATATTCAAATTTGAGATAAAAACATGTTGAAATATTGACCATGCCTCATTTACATCTGTACAGTCAGTTATTCGTGACCAATCAACAACAGATAGTTGAAGATTGAAAGACTCTTCTGTATATTTTTTCATGGATCTGATATCATTAGTCCTGTGATGACCTATAGCCAGTCTAACATTTTTCCGTGTACAGAAAGTAAAATAATGGTCGCTAATACCTAGATCAATGACACCACTTTGACTTATTTTATTTCTTTGGTACAACCAATATGATCCAATAGAGAAGAACATGTAGGTGTAACGCGTGTTGCCTCTTTAATGAGTTGACTAAACCCATGAAGACTCAACAAGTCAATATATTTTTTAGCCAGTGGCGATTTGCGAAGAAGACAAATATTCATGTCTCCTAAAAGAATTATTTCGTCATCCTTTTTTAATGTATCAAGAATATTGGACAATTTCTCGATAAACAAATTGTTTTTCGGAGGTCGATACAGAACGCCAACAACAATTGGTTTTGATCTTGGTATAAGCAAATTTATCCACAGGGATTCCGTATTTCCAGTACTTATAGCATCCATAATATTAAATGCAATATCATTTTTGATATAGAAACATACACCACCTCCAGAGCCAGAGGATCGATCATGGCGTATGATTTTATATCCGTCTATTTCAATTTCTTCATCATTTATGGAATTGTTTAACCATGTTTCAGTGAAAGCAATAATAGACAGCCTTTTTCTTTTAAAAAGAATTCTAAGTTCCGATATCTTGTTTAGAATAGACCTCACATTGAGGTGTAAAAAATGAAGACCTTTAATTTTAAACTTTTCTTCAAATTCTTGAAAAAGAGAAGTGTTTTCATCTTTGAGGTTTGGCTGAATTATTCTTGCTATCGCTTGCTTTTCAAGTGTAACGCGCGTTACCTTAAAATAGTTTTCTTTTAGTCTATCCTCGTTTTGACTTTCTTTCTCTAAACAATCGTCAGTAAATATTGATTCACAAAAAGATGGCAGACAACATGTTAAACAATTCCACTTCTCATCAGGGCATTCATAATATAACCTGCGGTACTCTGAAAAACTGATAGCTTGACAATTAGTGTGAAACCATTTTTTACAATAAGAACACAGAAGGCCGTGTTGATTACATTTGACTGGCTTATCACAGTTCCCACAAGGGAACTTATATTTTCGACCGTCAACTATAATTTTCGGATCATCACTAGATTTTGTCAAACTTTCACTTAATTCAATACCCTTCTTACAAATTGAAGATAATTCGCCCAGTCTTTCATGTCCACCTTGGACTAATTAGAAAGGATCGGGGCACGTGAAAAGGGGCACTTGTCACAGGTGATAAGGGGAATTTTGTGTACCTGAAAAGGGGCACTCACCTGAGATGAATAGGGGCACTTGTAACAATGGAAAGGGGCACTTATTATGAAGGACTCAATGGACACTTTCTAAAGATATTTGCATATCAATTCCTTCGCGCTCCTTTTGGGAGATCAACCGACCCGCGCGCATTTTATATTACATGACATATGGTAAAATTCTCGACATCTTTTTACACTTTTCTTTACCATTAAAAATCGAAATTGAGAATAATATCCTCAATCGAGATATGAGAAGAAGGAAACATTTCCTTTATATTCCATGTAAAACCATGCCCTTACTTGAAAAAAAACCTCCGTCACTTTGACGTTGAACTTTACAATCCATTTTAAAAAAAATACTCTCTCATACACAATGTCAATGGATCGGTCGCACTGTGCTCGATTGCCTTTCAATAAACCAATCTTTAACTTTGCAGCAACGCGTTTTGCGTCAAATTTGTAAATCCTCAATCACAGACAATGACATATGATACGTAAGCTTTTCATACATATAAATTTCATTTTGATTGATTCATTTTTAGCTCCGTCAATTTTCATGTCAAATCATGCTTCATGTCCCATTTTAGAAGCCCGACCCAGGGTTTTGTGCCAGCTAGCTAGCCCTGTACGTAATGCTATGCATACATATAACTGAACATGTACAGTACATGTACAAGTACACACGCAGCGCAGCGCGTACGAGCGCACTGCGCTACATTTCATTGGGTCAGTACCATTATGAAAATAGGGGAACAATGAGTGGGATGGGTTTAGTGCCGTCACAATAAACTTGCGCATTACACGCGTACGTATAATTAGAGCAATTTATGCACCCCCAAGAAATAATGAATACAGCCCGACCTCTCTACACACAGAACTGCACAGATACCGCACAGTCCGGTCAAGGCGGTACGCGTAGCGTTAAACTGCCAAATTTACAGAAATTGTGAGGAGCGCTTTTGCTATGAAAGGAATTGATATGGGGCACCATTTATCAGACGTGTGAGAAGGGGCATTTATGAGAAAGGGAAGTGGCTCTTATCACATGAGAAAGGGCACTTTTTAAAGTAAATGGGCACCTCTCAGACTTATCAGAGGCTCTTAAAAGAATTTGAATGGAACGGGCACTTATTATATAGAAATAAAAAGGGGCACTTATCTGAAGTAAAAGGGGTCACCTTTCCTATGAAAAAAGGACACTTTAGGGGTACTTGAACAAGTGGGGGTACTGTACCCCCTGCCCCCGGCTCCACCGCCTCTGCTCCTTGGGTTTGAGCAGAAGGTTGATCTCTATCGATTCCCTGGTTTGAGCTTCAAGAGCAACTACTCGCATCTTTATAATCCGTCAATCGAAGCACAAACTTTGGCGGCAGCTTTATGATCATCAACAAACTGCGCGAGTGCTCATCAACACGTCGAGGCACTGCTCTCACATGCGACAAAACGGGGGGGGGGGGGGGGGGGGGCAAAGGGGGCTGAATAACAAATGATATACCGTAGGTCTTCTACCTAGCATATAAATCTTAACAAAATTAGTTAACAAACTATGGCTTCCAACGGCATGCAGTGTATAGAAATGAAAATACCTACTGGATGGATTGCTTGCCGTCTCCAGCAATTTTTTAAAACCCATTTGACCCATGCACCCCCTCTCTTTTTCCACACCATCTAACTCACTCCCTCTCCCTCTTTCTTCAGTTCACTGAATTTTCCCTCAACCTCAGAAAGAAAAAGAAAGAAGTGTTCATGTCATAGTCTGATATCCTATGTCTATGTAGGCCTAGATGGAAATCTTAATGACCGTTTCATATCTTAGGTATTATAATCATTTTGTCACCTAATTTTTCATCACCACCAACACCACCATTATCATCATGATCGTAATCATCATTACTGTTATGATAATAATCATCATCATCATTACCACCACCACCATCACTATCATCATAGTCATCATTATCATTATCATCTTCATCATCATCATCATCATCATAATGAATTTACAATCTCACAAAAAAAGAAAAGAAGAATTACCATGAATAACATAAATATTGATTTTTATTCAATCATTGACATAAATAGTCCATTTAGCTCCTAATCACAGTAGCAAGGATATACCAGGATATCTCTTCCAACATCCAATCGATACTCTCTATGAAATAACCATTCATCTTATTTGCACCAAAATACATATTTCATGTCTGCTCTATTCTGCTGCACTTTCGAGATTCAAACAGAAAGAAAAATTAATATAAAAACAAACATTTTAAGCAAAGTGTTTACAGGATTGTATAATGCTTTCACAAGAAGAAGCTGTAGCACTTGCTTGGAGAAAAGTGATCAAATTTTCACAATTCAAACACTGATAAATGTCAGTAAATGCACTAATGTTCATGCAGCTTCATATATTTCATATATATCACAAGAGTTGGATGAATACAGTTACCCAATAAAATTAAAAATGATTGCAACAATTATCACCACAAACAAGGCTTAGAAAGAAACATTTGAGCATGTTGCAGCAAAAGGGAGATCAAAGAACATAAAAGAAAATGCTAAAATTATACAATTATATCAGAGAGGGAGGAGAGAGAAGGAATACAACTATACAGTTAACAACGAAATTATTCATACCCTTACAGAGTTTTTAATTGTCTAAGTATGTGAAAAACTGATTTGTCCCAAGTCATGTTTCTTGAGAATGTGACATATTAAAGCTTATATTCTAAATTATTAAACAAAGACCCAAATTTAATCCAGCTTACCTTTTCATTATTGAGCTACAAAAAAGAAAAAAAAAATTACAATAAGTATGAATAATTCAGTTGATAACTGTACATGTGCATGAAAGAAACAACAAGATAACAAGAGAAAGAGATTCAAATATAAAAAAAAAACTCATATAAAACGAAATTCACAAAGACACATATTGCTAAAATAAAATAATGTAAGACATCAATCTGAAGTGCAACACCACAAGTTTCCTGCAAAGGCACATAAATAATTTGCATATGAAAAACAGCACTCCAGCTCATTATTTCAATAAATCAAATACAATGAATATCCTTTCAAGATAAAATGCATTCATTGAGATAATACCCTACTTCCCCACTCCGTATTTCATACTTCTGATCAGTATCTATTCATCACAAAGAATACAGCATCTTTCAAAATCGGTAGATTCTCAATAGACAAGTAATAGATTCGAACCCCTGCCCCCCACTCAGTGTTATTTAGCATCATTCAACGTCATCAGCTTCTCAAGAGAAAAGCAATGGATTGGAACTAAATCATTAGAGTTTGAATTACTTCATTAACTTGCATAAAAAACAGAAGTCACAATTAGTATATTTGGCTGAATATAAACAATGTATAAAGAAACTATTTGTTTGCTATTACAAAAGGTGTATTGGTATGTGTTATTAGACTATCAAAAGAGGCTCTTTCAATAGGCCAATTTCTTAATGTAACCAAGTAATATGCATACGCCTTTGTGAAGTACCTCAATACAGATTATTGCATTATGAATAATTGTATTTTAAAAGCCAGAAGGCGAACTGCATACATTAGTTGTTGCCAGATAGGACAAACATTATGGCCTGCCCTACCTAACAACATGTAATTATGCAATTTGCATTCTGACTATTGAAATACAATTATTCATTAAAAGAATGAAATATTGATTTGATGCACTTCACAAAGACGTATGCATTAAATTTGGGAACATTACGAAAATGGTCTTTTGAAAGGATGCATATATGCATATCAAATAATCTGTTTGGAGCCTGAAGGGCCTTAACTCACATACTTTGACACAGAGTTAACGCCTTTATGGCTTTGAACAGACACAGTTATGCATGCAAGACATGAAAGCAGGTATATATGGCAAGGTTTTATCAGACTACTATTTACATGAATGGAATGGACGCAGTACCGATACAAAAATATTGCATATTCTTTTTTCCTTTTATTTAATACATCAGTAAATTCAGTCGAAGCTTCCAGTTATAACACCATCAAAACCTCCCGTTATAACATTTAAAAAAAATTGACCCTTTGACTATTAAAAGGACTAGGAAAGAAAAGGATTCGGAAATAAATATACTTGAAACTTGACACTTGGATACTTGAATTATCTCATTCAAAATATTTGGATACAGGAGTCCCCTGATTCCCACAGGCAATGGAAAGAGAGTGGTTGTGCAACAAAAGCTCTTCACTTTAATAAATTAACTCTTTACATGCCACACAATAATCTCACTGTGCCATATTGTATTTATCATGAGACAGATAAACCAAATACTTTAAAATCATTTAACTGTGTCCAGTGCAAGATTAATCTGTACCAGTGTCAAAAAAAATTTGCCATGTAGCAATTCAAGGGCAGGATCATTCATTCTTCAATGCTACTGTGTGTTGCAAAAAGCAATCCTTCCCCCTATTGGTACCTATTGTTTTGTGCAAAAACACGTTTTTGGCAAATGAGCAACTGTGCGGGGGGAGGGGAGGGGGGAGGGGGGGGGGGGGGGCAAAGAAAGCAACCGAAGGGTTATTAAAGACTTTTAACTCAGGGCTACAACAGGAAGAATATTTATAATCATCATAAATAGCCCATGAAGTTCAACTAACAGAGAAAAGGACATGCATTTTAACAATGATAGATAAGAAAACAGAATTAAACCATGAGTGATACTTCAATGACAGCATACAAAATGGAATGGTATTCAGATTCACCTGTAGGCATAGAATGCAGTTTCTAATAATTTGAAAAATAAGTTCCTCTCTGATAATATTACACAGAACATCAATTTATCAGATGCAAAGAAAATGATTTTGAATAAAAGGGTAAATTGTGAACTTATTGCACTAGCATGAATACACAGCATTAGATAAATTGCTTTTCTCCACTCGCTTTCATTACACAATGATAGGACAAGTGTGTCACTGTGAGACGCGATGGCTCAGTGGTAGAGCAGTGGTCTCGTAACCGGGTGGTCCTGGGTCCTGGGAAACCAAATCGATGCGCTAGTGCCCTTTAGTAAGGCATTAATCTTTATTACCAATTCCCTCAGAGACTTACAAGCATACACATGCTTTCCATCAAACAAAACCAACTATAACCTTCATTCCTCGTCAAATCCCCAATGTGCTTGAAAAACTTTCATATAGGCATGAAAATACTGATCATTAATTTTATTTATTCTATTGTCGAAGGGTATAAAAACAAGGGTAATATTGGAGCGCCATGAACGCCTCTATGTGGTGTTTATATTATTTGACAACCCATCATTGTTACACAGTGTATTCTTCTGAATCATACTACCGTATACAAACAGAAAATGTTTTAACAATTTGGTATATGATATAAAATACTTGTCTCCAGTAAATAAAAATAAGTAGCACCATAATGATGTAAAGAAGGAAACAAAAAATACTTTTGCAAAGAAAGATTGTTCCTTGCTTCAATGCAGGTTTTTATTTTTGGTATAAATATTTAATGGTGGGTTGCTTCTTTTAAACACTTTTGGAGTACGGAGATCCTCAAAAGAGTAAAAAAAACATTTGCACCATTTCTCTGGTTTGATTTGTTTACTTTCTTTAGTCTTTATATTTGACATACTGACATCTCTTTCTCTCCATTATGTATTCAAAGAAAACAATCATTTCATACTGTCAGAAGGATCATTTATCATTACATATCTGCTCATATTATTTGTCTTTTCTTCCATTCTTTACATCTCATAATTCCAACGACAGAGAAAACCTTTCATGTCGTCTAACCTTCCTTTCTCTGCCCCATCCTTGTGCTCTACATGTACTTTATAAACCTCTTCATTCTATATTCTCATAAATCATTTAGAACAAAACATTCTGAACTCTAACATTTACTTCTCTTCTCACCTCATCCATCAAGCTTCTTGGCTACTAGAGGCAGAAGCTGTTCTCGCCCCCTACATTTGATCTTTTCACATCTATCTTCTACTTCTACATCAATTCTTCTACAAACAAAAGAATAGAAATACAAATTTCCAATTCCATCATTCTATCCTCTGACTGCTATGGATACATGCAGTTGCAACAGAAAATTATTTTCCTCTCCCACTACCTTTCACCTTTTCCTTTAATTTCTTCTGTACATCCTCTTGACCGCTAGACAGGAGCAGAGGTACGTCATCTTCTGCCCATCATCAGATTTCCCAGACCGAGATATAAACTGGGTTGGTATCAGGTGATCATCTTTCTTTGCTTTCTCTTCTACTCTTCATTTCTTCAGCCGATCTCATTTGAATGGAAAAGAACCTGGGTTGGAAAGATCTTCTTCTTCATCTTCCTCTTCTCCAAACACTTCTTCTGTCTATCTTCTAGAGGCTTGGTGAAAACTTTGTAAGTCTTGGAGGAAACTCAGCTGACCATGCTCCTTCGCTCTCTCTTCCACTTTGCAGTGAATCTTGCCACAGCTAGATAGAACCGGAGTCATCAAGAACTCTCATCCATCTTCTTCTTCTTCCTTTCCCTTTTTTCAGTTGTTCAGTCTATCTTCTCGAGACTCGGTGGGAACTGGATGAGTCTCAGCTCGCTGCCGAAGTCACAGACGATCGTTGGTGAGTTGTCAACGGGGAGTATGTTCTTCACACGGACGTGCTTATCACCAAGGTTAAGTTCTCTGATTGGTTCTCCACTCACGATGTCCCATACAACTAGGTATCCCTGTAACAGATAAATAAAATGATAATAAACATGGAAGGATGCATATTGAAGTTAACTGTATTCTATTGGAAAATATGTACATGTACAACATCAAATGGTATTCATATTGATTCAGGTATTAATAGCAAATGAAAGGCAGGTAGCTATTGAGGTTAGCACTTTTGCACAGATATAATAAATGAAAGCTGATGGATTCACATAAATGATACCATCATCTCCAAAAATATTCATGAATTTAGAGGATTTTTTAATAATTTGAAATAAACAAAACTCATGCTCCTATGAAACAGACCATGCTGGAGAATGGCATTTCAAAGTATGTAATCATGACCACATTTTAATATTCAAATGAAATTTTCATACAATTGATTATTTTAACCTTTGTTCCTCTTGTCAAAATTACATTGCCATAAAACCAGAAACTCTCACAAATTTGTATGTGGTCTAGATTCACAAAAGTTTGATAATATATGACACTGTGTTTTCCAATTTTCTCTCCGTTCTGTGCTTTAAATTAAAGAGATAGTCAAGTTGTTGTTTAAGACTGCAAATGCCATCAAAGTTCATGGAATTATAGCTCTTATTCTTATTTACAACATTTCTAGTGCCCACAATATTAGAAATGGTTACATCTATGGATATTTCAGCCATCTCTGAACCGATTTTGATCAAAAAAAGATGATTTTTGTCATTTAAATAATATGTTCTTTCAAATTTGACACTCAGTTTTTCATTATCTCACAAAAAAATTATTAAAACTCAACTATCCCTTTAATCACTGACCCAAAATCTGAACCACATCATACCTGAGCACCAGTGATCATGAGTTTATCATTCAAGGTAGCAACACTACTACTGCATCCACCATCCTAGGAAAACAAACAAATACAAATGAGTTACAACAATAGACACTCAACAATGCTATGGAAAGAAACAGGGAGGGATTTTCAAAGAGATTACAATCTATATTACATGGCTTCTCATTCTTCCTTACTTTTGATGTTAATTTTCTTTCTCAGGTAACTATACAAACAACTTGAGATTTGTCACAAGAGTAGCCACATGAAGAATTAAAAAACCTGTATTCTGTCACATTTTCCATGCAAATTTAGAAGCTAAAGTTATGTAATATGGAACATCCATCCCTGCAGTCAAATCCATATGGATAGCTAATTGTCTACGGTAAGCAAACACACAATACATTCTGAGGGGTATATGAAATACCCCTCTCACACCCCTCACAAGCCACTTCTTAAAGGGGGTGAAGCATGGAAAATACTGATTAACGCCATCTACGACTTCTTTTGGACAACTGCAAATAAAAGAATGGACTTGATTAACATTCAGCGCATGCTAGCGTTCGCAAAGAAGACCGAAGTTCTCCTCTTCAGTTTCGCGTATGTTGCACGCACGTGAATACTACGGTCACGTTGTCCGTAGTCGTATTAAATCTAATTGGTCCTGAGTCAGGTCACGGGAAAGCCACATAGTCTCTTCATGCTACATCCCCTTTAACCCTCCCACACTCCTCTTAATCCAATCATTCTAATTAACTCACCAGCTGAATAACATGCAGCATCCATCCCTGAAGTCTCGTCCATACACACAGCTTATTGTCTAAGCTCACACACAGAACGTGTTGTGATGTACATGTAATACTGAGAACTGTACTAGTAGGTCCTTTGAGAGCCTTTAACATATCGCCCCGCGACGTGTCCCACAGTCTCACCAAGCCGTCTGTTGATCCGCTTGCCATGCTGATAAATGGATCCTAAAGACCAGAATGGAAGAGGGATGTCAAGTGCAATCAGTAATGACAATTATATTACAGCTTTGACTGGACAGCTCCAGAAACATAGTCACATAATCTTTATCTTACAGGAAGGCAAGTAAAGCAAACCTGAGGCCCCCCCCCCCCCCCCCCCCCTCCATCAAAAAAAGTTTAGCCTCCTGCCTTTTAGAAAAATAGGAAGGAGAAGGCCCCTTTTTTTTTCTTCAAAATGGCCGCTCAATATGGCCGCTCGGTACATTTTCCCTGACAGTCGGACTATTTTCAAGATGGCCGCTGGCATTTAAACAAAAAAATCAATCAAAAATAGATCATTTTAGCAGTATGTTTTTTCATTAAAAAAAAGAAAGAAAAGGAAGCGGCCCCAAAAAGGAAGCGGGCAGGGACGCTAAACATGAAATTTTTGTTTAATGGCCTAATGGATAAAGGAGCATCACCACACATGCATTTCTTTTCTTAATCATGAATCGCCATAAACTCAATTTTCTAGAAAAAGGGATTTCAGGTTAGAATTTAGAATAAAAGAAATTTTGTTTCTTTTTGCAACTATTAATAAGCTGAACTGAAAAATAGTATACATACTATAAACATTCATACACACAGTTTTGTACATTTATATTTCTTTATAGGACAAAACCATATATAACGGCACTGCTGAGAGCATCAGGAGCTTTCCAGTCTGTCAACTTCACGAACAATTAATAAAATGTAAGGCAAGTATTTTGTTGAGTTGTATCAAACAAAGCTGAAACGTACTGTGGCATTTGAAGTAATAATCATTTGCTAAAGATGAGAATGAATATCTTACCTTATCTACATAGAGTGATGTGACACTGCCAGCGTGTCCCCTCAATGTAAATCTACAACTCAGATCATCTAATGAATAAACCTGCACAAGTAAAAGAAAAGAAATAAATGAAATGACTGTCGATCTTCTGAAGATGATCAGGTTATACCTGAATGAATCAATAAGAACCAAAAAGCCTTTAACCCACTGCCTACTGGAACCGGTTGGATCTGGTATTGAGTCTATGAGAATTAGAGTAGTCGATGGTTCAATAGACTCAATACAGGATCCAACCGGTTCCTGTAAACAATGGGTTAAACCATAATTTGACTACTGAATTGTCTAATTCCCCATAGACTCAATACCAGATCCAACCGGTTCCCATAGTCATTTGGTTATGGGAATTCTACAATTCAGTAGTCAACAGGTTAACCTATTGCATAAGGGAACCGGTTGGATCCGGTATTGAGTCTATGGGAATTAGGCATTTCATCAGGTTCGTGCTCACCAGCCCCATCAGGGCTCTCATTCATTTAAAAGAATCCATGATGTAATCTTGAATTCTTTGACTGAAGGTGAGGTCTTGATATTCTATACAATAAAGATAATTTCTAAAGAGGCATAATAATGGAAAATCCAGTGCCAAATTTGGCAAGGATAACAAAACAAAGAAAATCAAAACAAATTTTTTAAATTCCACCCTACAAGAAACAAGGCAGCCACTAAAACTATGGAGTATCTTTAAAGAGATCGTTTAACAATGTTAAATCTGAGATGCATGGCCCTGCGTGTTATCAGAGTCTGTGATACGGTGTTATATTGAAGCCCTAACAAAATTGTGCTTCAAAATGAAATTTCAACTAACTGGGAGGTGCAGTTGAATGTGTAAGATCATTAATGTAAATTAAAAAACAGTAGAGGACCTTGGACAGAACCGTTTGGCAAAAGCAAAATTTGATTTCGATTTTTCAATCATAAATATCTTGATAATCAGACAGGCGATCGGCTTGTAAAAGTCATGTGGTTCCTGACTGACCTAAAGGTTTATAATTATCATTGCAGCATGAGCTAAATCCCGATCCTACCTTTAGCGTATAGTCCTGACTAGCAGTAATGAGTTGTGCTTCATTAGCCTGTATAGTATTGATGGGTTGCTGATGAGCCTGCACAGTCTTCAGTAGACTCAAGTGAACCACTGGTGGGTATTGGTAATAGCTGTCATAGCTCACTGTAACTGCAGGAAAACAAAATAGAAAGTTATAATAAAGAACAACAAGTATAGAATTAACAAGACACATGCGACTGCGTCTCCAACATGCCCCTGCCCTAAATTCAGTATAAGAAATGGACAGAATTATTTGTGATGTATCACAACGAAGACAAAAAGCCTATCACTGAATGTCAAACTAGCGACTACAATCGTAGCTCACTGTAACTGTAGGAACAAAATAGAGATTTATTTTGAAGAGGAACAAGTATAGAATAAAACAATAAGCACTTGGGAATCATCAAAATTCCATATTTATACTGCATACTCTCAACTCTTTGAATCATTCCATCGGTAGACACTTTAAAGACTAATCTTTAAAAATTTGGTAAGGCATTAATCCTCATTACCGAATCCCTCAGAGAGGAATCTAAGCCGCCGGTCCCCTGGTTGCTTACTTACAAGTATGAACTTGCTTTATGTCAGGTAAAAAAAAAAAATCAAATCAAATCAAACATGAGGATTGATTTCATCTTCTTACTACGTGATTGAATACACCTCAATAAACTTTAAATCCTTATCAAGAATGTTCAACATGGTCTCACCTCCTACACCATTAAAGCCTGATATTTGCAGGAAGTCCAGACTGCCCCCGAGCCTGGCTACAACCAGGAGATTACGACAGAAGCACACCCCTGTAATACCAGGCTGTGATTGGTCACCCTTGTATGGCGACCAGGCTAACAGCTGACCATTCTCGCTGCTCCATAGCTGAAGAAAGGGAGTAAAGCGGGGAAACAAAATCGTTTATAGCAGTTGCAAAAGTTTTCATTTTAAGAGCAATTTACAGCTAATTTATTGTCTAAGCCACAAAAAGAAAGGTTTGAGTGAGTATTTCTCTGTGCAGGTAAATGAGCGAGACCTAAACATACAACAATCAGTTATACATAAAGTTAAACCGATAATATTGAGATTAAACTAAGACTTGGAAAAGTTTTGAATAAAATAAACATAAACTCATAAACTCAAGCAGAAACTCATTTAAACATGAATCAATCTTTACGAACATGTACATCTATATCATACAATGATTTTAGTTTGTTTTTCTTCTTGAATTTAATTTTTTTAAATTTTGATTTGATTTCAATTTTTGTTCTTCTGTCAGAAAAGATTAATGTGAACTTACCTCCACACTTCCATCACTACATCCTGCTGCTACCAGCTCATCTTTACACGCCAGACACCACACCGTAGAACATACACCTGCACCGTCACCCCCTCCCCCTCCATGGGGTGCACAATGCCCCCCTCCTGCGCCGGCTGGGTCGACCACACCCTCCCTCTCCTGAGGACTACCAAACATGTCCACCTGAGAGAAGTCAGCTGATACCGTGCTATGAGTCCTTGACTTGGTGTGCTGCTGTAGGTAAGGGTCATCATCGCAACTAGCCACCCCAGAGCTACGGCTGGACGACTGCGACGGGTGCCTCGCTGCTGAATACACCTGCTCTCCATTCGCGTAGTACCCGTCCATGCTGAAGTGCATCCCAGCTAGGTCCTTTGAGCTTCCAGGTCGTGACATGCCACCTTCTTGTGACGCACAGAAGTGCGATGACAGGTCCTTCGAGCTTCCAGGCCGCGGTATGCCAGCTTCGTGTGACCCGCTGAAGTGAGACGACAGGTCCTTTGAGCTACCGGGGCGTGGCATGATCACCTCGGAGCAGAAGTGAGTGTTGAGATCCTTGGCGCTGTTTGGAGCAGCGCCCTCTGTTGTTTGAGGAGGATCAGTATAAAGTGGACTGAAGGGACTGGACGGGACGCTGGAATGATTGGGAGTCTTTAGGGGCTGCGTAGGTGAGATGGGTTGACGAGGCAGGCTGCTACTTTTGTTGTTCAGGCGATATCTTTCATTAAAAGAAAACACAAGGAAGCAGCCAATTAGCAAATTCTTTTTAATCACACTTACACCAAGATACTTGAATTCTATAAAGAAGATGTCAGAAGTATTGAATATACAGGATAAAACAAATGTCTGACCTAAAATATTGGCATGAAAATAATGTCTGTAAAGCGCTTAGAGAAGGTATTTCGCATTAAGCACTATATAGATCCATATTATTATTAAAAAGAAAGTCTGTTGGCTCTTAAAAGTACAAACACATTACAGACGCCCCATTGATGTGGAACTTTAAATCACCTAATCGGTTACCATAGAAACGAGATGTATTCAAGTATCTCTTACCTGGTTCTTGGAATGAAATGCTCACATCTTCCTTCATTTGGATCCCAGATCCTTATATCACCCTGGATACACGCACTCACTACCCAGCGCCCTCCAGTCACAAAACACTCCACCTCCTGATTATAGAAACAGAGATTTACAGAGACATTTATATTGAGATCTTGAAAGTATACAACTAACCTACTCATCACCTACTCACGTTTAATATGTGATTGTTTATTATTGTATTTTGTTTGTTATAGCGCTTAGAGACTTCAGTGGTAAGTGCTTTAGTAGAACCGTTTGTATTATTATTATTATTATCACGGTTCTTGAAAAAAATACAGCTAACCTACTCGTCATGGTTCTTGAATAAACTTTTAAAGACAAACAGAACATATATTGAATACCATTAATAATTCAGGTGAAGAGTAAAGTTCAATCAGACAAATACACGAGAATTCGGTCCATTATATGAGCGCAACAGCATGATACAGCCTTTGATTAAAGCCCCACTGCACTACTTATAGCTACTTGCGCCTTCTATATAGCAAACAATGCGTGTTGGTCCCCCATGATCCCCTTTTCTCTAGTGTTAATTGAAAGCTGATTTGATGAGATAACCACCTGTCAGTGACCACGCAGGGAGATCTTATCCCTCTTGGTCAAACTAGTGCAGTGAGGCTTTAATATGTGATAAAGTGATCACCAAGTTACTTGACTCTCACAGAATATGGCTACCGATAATATGGATTCACACTGAGGCATGGAATATAAGCACTGAGAGAGACAAGTCAAGATGAGAGTTTCCTGCCTGTTCATGTCCAGCCAGATGCAGAGGTACAGCCTCACATGGTCCCTGAACCCTCTTGACGATATCAGCCCTGCGTCCTGGTTTGTACCTGGCCTGACGACTACGGACCAGGGTAGCACACTTACACAGCAGCATCATCAGGATTACTGATGATGCACCGCTTATGATCCCCAGCATCATCGTCACGTAGTAGTCCCATCTGTTGAGAAATATGATGGTTTAGATTATCACGAATGTTATGCGAGGTTTCCATATGAAGATTGTATGGTACATAGTAGTCAAGTTCCACCTGAAATGAAATGCTGGTTTGATTGAAATGAATGACACAAGAAGTAATAATTACAATGATCTCAATACTACAATTCTTTAGACAAGGGTTTGATATACAACAAACAATAAAGATCTAATAGCCCATTTTTTAATTTCTTTAAATAATGCAATACATTTCAAAATCAACATGAAAAGAGACAGATTGTCACCCAATAAACAAAGAGAGTAAGGGAAAAATGAACACCACAAACACTTAAAATACAGAAAAAACACAGAATTCCTTAGGATGAACAGAAATACAAACATACAAAAGTTAAAAAGAGAAATTGCACAAAACAATAAATATAAAAGAAACACAACAAAATTACCCACACATATAAACAGGAGGGGAAGTAGAAACAAAACAAAACCATAAACAGAAAGTGGCAGAGGATAAACTCTCTTAATTAACCATTAAAAGGGGAAAATCATAGAGATACGCACCTGTCGGCTTCATGAAGGCCTTCATAGCTACCGATGATCTGACCAACCCCAGGAGATGAGCCATATCTCTTAGTTTCTGAATCTTTCCTCAAAGCTACAGCCTCCTCAGGACTGATATGAATGTTAAGCTTGATGGGTGGTAGGATGCTCACATATCTGCGTTTGGATACATAAGGGGGGTGTTTCACAAAGATTTAAAGCCAAACTTAACTCTAAGTTGGACTTAAAAATTATGGAGAGCCCTTTGTAGTTTTATAATGAAATACAATCAAACCTGTCAATAGCGACCGCCCAGGGAAACGCAAAAAGTGGTCTTTGTAGACAGGTTCCTTAAGTACATGTTTCAATGAGGAACCATTTTCAAGGGAAACAAAAAATATGGTCCTTGTAGAAGGGTTTCTTATTGAAACATGTACTATACTATGGGCACCTGTCTACAAAGACCACATTCCTATAAAGACCACTTTCTTGTCCCCCTTGGGTGGTCTTTGTAGACAGGTGGTCACTAAAGCAGGTTTGACTGTATATTCAAAAGCAAAAATTTTAAGTATTTTAAACTTTACATAAATTCCACATCAAGAACATGAAATCTCCCATCATGAAAGAAAATATGAATGATTTGAATCAACATTTTATGCCTTTTAAAATAACTTATACAAAAATATTTTCAAACATGCTAACAGCTTTCCATAATTGTAAAATCAAACTTAGAAATAAGTTCAACCTAGGATCTTTGTGAAACACCCTCCAGTATAGAGAAATTGAATGATGCAAGATACAGAACTTTATGACTATTTTAAGGATGCTAAATCCTGCAGATGTAAGTTTGTCTGTCAGCACTGTTAGTGGTATGATCAGCTCTATGTTTTCACCTACAAACTGACCATGATGGTCCCCAGCCCAAAACCAATTTTGGGTGGTGACATTACAGGCCGTTCCTCAGACGTAAAGAATAAGCCAGATACCTTAGAAGTGAAATTAATGAACTAATCACTTTAATTTTGTTTTACTTTTAAGAACATTTCAGAGTTAAAGTTAATTATAATTAGATAAGCATATGGGATGTAATCAATCAGTTTTTGAAGGCATTATTAGTATAGAGTTGTATAGGGACATTACACCGATCTCAGACAGGCAGAGAGACCGCCACCTCCATTTCAGTGGGCACTGCTGGAGGAGCAAGAGTGAAATCATTTCACAAATGCTCTTCTGGGAGCCCTCAAGGGTCAAACGCACCAGAGGGCGCCCAGCAATGACCAGTTAGAAAAAGACACCTGTCTACCAAGGCAGGAACTCCCAAAGATCATGGAGAATAGAACTGAATGGAAAAAGCTTGTCAAATCAGTGTGAGTACGCTCGACCTAGAAGTAGTAGTATTAGTATAGAGCATGCTACATGCATGGTTCTCACCTGTCCGCCAAGCTAATGTTGTACATATTGAAGAGAGCCGGCCAGTGCCAAGCGGAGAGCTTCCAGAGCCCTCTCTGTCTGACCCACAGGGATAGCTTATCGCTGCAATCGCTTCCGTGGCAAGGCTTCAAGTCCAACAAGCTGCTAGTACTCCCATCACTCCCACTCTTCATCTTGTCCTTGACCTTGTCATCCCCTTTCTGGTCACTTGCCTTTTGGGGATTCCCCGCTTTTAGACCAGGGAGGGAGTGGTCTTTGACCTTGTTGGATGCGTCAGGTTCAAGCACCTGTCCTGATTTGTCTAGGGTGTGGTAGGGGTCATTGAGAGGAGGTACAAGGGGCAGCGTGGGGTCCAGAGGGGTTGGGGCTGTAGGGGTGGTGGTGGGTTCCAGAGGACTGCCGTAGATGTTGCTGACGAGGAAGAAGTTGATGATACCCGCTTTGTAGATGAAGAGACAAGTCACTATGATCCACAGTGCCAGTGTGAACTGCAACAAAGCATATGAAACATGGTATAACAAATGTCACTGGATACACATGTGGAGGCACAAGCAGGGGGGTGTTTCACAAAGATTCTAAGTTGAACTTATCTCTAAGTTGGACTTAACTATTATGGAAAGCCGTTAGCATCTATGAAAATATTTACTTGAAGTTATTTTAAAAGGCATAAAATGTTGATTTAAATCATTCATATTTTCTATTATCAAGGAGATTTCATGTTCTTGATGTGGAATTTATAAAAAGATTAAAAAACGTGAACTTTTGCTTGAATATATTTTATTCTAAGGCTACAAATGGCTCTCCATAATGTTTAAGTATAGCTTAAAGTTAAGTTCGACTTAGAATCTAAGTGAAACATCCCCCTGATCATGTTAAAAACTGGAAGTGCTTGAAAGGCATTAACCCTTGCGACATGAATCCTCTTAACACACTGGGTATATAAGCTAAGCATAAAGGCAAAAAGATAGAAGAACATAGGGACTACGTACAGCTGCATGCAACAAAAACTGACACAAAAATGCGAGCCTTAACATCAATCTCTCCATGAAAGTAATCAGAAAACCTATATCATACATCAATGTATTACAACTGTTACAGTTTATTCCAAATTAATATCAAACAATACACCTTTGAATCAAAATAGAATCACACATCTCTTATTTTTGTTAAAAATGTTATTGCTACTATATGTAGGAAAGGAATGACTGCATAGCATCTGAGAAAACTTAGAACACCTGATAGGTGTCGTGGCAGAGTGGATATGTCACGGGACTGTCGATCACAAGGTCCACGTTCGAGCCCCACCACGGCACTAATGTCCTTTGGCAAGGCATTGATCTACATTCGCCACACTCAACCCAGGTTTTGTAAATGGGTACCTGGCAAGAATCAATTCCTTGAAATGCTAGAGCACCGTAATGTCAGTCTTGCTAAAGCCAGAGTAATAATCGGGGCAGCGCCAGGAGCGTCACAATGTGGCGGACATGTGCGCTAAATAAGAAGCCATCATTATTATTTTTACTCACCTTAATAATCTTTTGGATAATCCTCACACTAGCTAAGAAGTTGAAGACCCTGAGCCTGCGAGGGATCCTTGGTGTAGGAGCCGGCTCCTCGATGGGTTGACCCCAGAAGGGGGAGAGGAAGGACCGGTGATGGGTGCGAGAAGGCCGCGCCCCGTCAGGAGAATCTTGGAGGGTCTGCATCATCCCGGATTTATACAGGTCAGAAATCTGGATGAAGGAATCACAATGATTACTTATATATTTATTTATTAAATCATCTTTTACAGGAAAACATTGATCAGCTTGAAAGACACTATTTTCTAGATCATTTTAGAATGGCAATATTACAGGAAGGCATGTTTCATATTCAATAATGCAAGCCTGAACAATGCCATAACAAAAAGCTACCCAGCACCCTGAACACCACTAAATCTGTGGACCTGTTCGTGACACTTTTAAAGACCCACTAATATTGTTACAGAACATGGATTGTTACAGATATTCATTTGCTAAATTAATTTTTAAGTAGTACATTATCATTTTAAAGAGGTTCACACAGAGTGAAGCAATTTTAAAATCACTAGCAATTTGTAAATCACTTCATAACTGTGACGAAAAGTTTCTGTGACAAATCCTTTGGGGGATTGAAAAAAAACCCACAAAAAACAGAATCAATAGATACCTCGAGTCTCCTGAAATCGAGAGCCAAGATTGAGACAAAGAACATCATCTGAAGAAAGAAATCTGAGAACATTGCCACCAGGGCTAGCAGACAAAACTCCTGGAAAGATAGGAAGATATGAAAGGAAATGTTAATACGATATAACCCTCATCCTCTATATCAACATCAAACAGAATTATATGTCAACATAGCCACCTGGGCTAGGAGACAAAACTCCTAGAGAGGGAGGGACGGAGAGATAGAGAAAAAAAAGAAATATGTCAACAAGATATCATCCTCATACCCCTCCCCCCCCCCCCCCACAACCCACCATCACCACCATAATTATCATCATCCTCAACATCATCATCGAAAACACCACCATCATCACCATCATCACCATCATAACCATCATCACCATCATGTTATATGTGACTTAGAAAAGGGTTATGAAGTGCGCTACCATTATCCTCGACTCGAAACAAGACCAAATGAAAAGTACATGAAATTCCACCAAGAAAGCATCACTACACTGACTCACCTGTACAGCTGATACGAAAGTAAAGAGCCCAATCAGCACTATCAGTATCTCAGTCCACATGTTCTTTGAGATAGACCAACCTTCTTTGCTCAAACCTAGAAAAAGAGAAAACATCTGTGACAATCGTTTGGTGCTGAAGACATAATATGCCTTTTACACATCACTTCAACATCATTTTTCATATCAATAACACTCAACAATGCTGTACATTCATAATTCTCCCTAAGCTGTACATTCCTGAACCATTTACTGACTGATCTTTCTTGTGATCAATTAATCTCTCCAGTGATATTTATTTGGTTACCCTGTGCTATTTCAAGCTCTAATGGTACATCCATGGACGTATAATATTGATCAGAACAAAAACATTTATGTCAACCTTTCTTGCCGTTTGTCCATCCATCAATTCATCTGTTCATCTGTTTATCTATCTATCTATCTATCTTTCTACCAATTTATCTTCTACTTACCCTGTGCTATTCTAAGCTCTACTGGTAGATCCATGGGCGTAGACGTAACAGATTTGATCAGAACTAGGATATTTTCCAGTCCAATCAAGATGATGATGTATGGAAATACCTCTCTGTAACAAGATTTGGGGAGACAAAATTTACATTTTTATTATCTAAAACATCAGGATAACTTGCATGATAGAGAAATGTTTGTAGCTTACATTTACAACTTGAAAGTGTTTGAAGGGGTCATAAACAATTTGTAAAGACATCAAAGTTTACCAATGAATTCTAAAATCTGACATTTGGTACTTTGACATATCACATAAGCGGATTTATCTCCACAACAAAAGAGAAGAAGTAAATGTGTATTACTATTCTCCAGACTTTTTCATCTAATATTCCAAAAAAAAAACTAAGATCAATTTAGCTTTAAATTAGATGAGAAAACTATTTTAAGCTGATGGTTGTCAGAAGCCAAAATGCAAAGATTTAATTGTGTGATTTGTTCTAAAGAAGTGTCTTATACAATCACTCACCCTTCATTCAACGTTGGTTCAACCCCATACTGGATACACAGGCCAGCTGACATAGTACAGGATAGTACTAACATTACCGTAGCACTCAACGCTAAACCCCACTTAGACTTCACCATCTCAATCTTACCTGCAAGAGAGAACATTCAATGAACAAGTCAACGTGATGATATAAAAATAATACACAGAAGTGAGGGCATTAGTAAGAATTACCCAAAGAAGGTACCTTTGGAACAGTCTAACCCGCCCGAGGCAAGAGCCGAGGGTGTTTTGACTGCTTTGAAGGTACCGAGTGTGGGTAATTTTACTAATGCCCGAATTCCTAATAAACAAGTCACACAGATGAAACTTATAATGGACTGGCAATATACTGCACAAAAAAGATGAATTTTCACTTTATTGGATACCTATGCACTCCAAGTACATGTATTTATTTAAAAAAATCATTCCTCAACCGATACAAGACCAGCCCCAAACAAAACGTCACTTTGGCATCATTCAAGTCCAAAAGATCAAAGCATTAAGTTTCTTATACAGTCACGTTGTAATACAGTACACATATTCTAAATATCCTGTTATGAAAACTTAAGTAAAATCCAGAAGAAACTTTTTTGCATAAATTGTCAGCAGGGCCCTCAGAAAGAACAGTGTTGATGGAGAATAGGCTTTCCCAGGTTAACAAAAAGTTTGTTGTCATAAGGGCATTAGCTCTGTGTTAAGTGATACAAGTTAACTCCTTCTTGCTCCGAATGGACAAAGTGATAGACTTGTACTTACGAACTGAGAAGTAGATGTAGAACATTAGCAGGGCATAGATGATGGCAGCAGGCATGAAATCATCTGAGTTGATCAAACTCTGAATGAGAAACAACAAAATAACACTCAATGTTAGCATTTCGTCATCAAAATACATCACAATTCACAGCCATGTCTTATAAAAGAGTTGGCATGGGTCCAGACTGATTGCAAGTCCAGTAATCAATCTACAAACTACTTTTTCTTTTATATAAAGTACAGAATTATGATTAATTCCAAGTAGGATCATGGGTTCGGAACCAAGTCGATGCGCTGCCCTTTGGTAAGACATAACTCCTAATACCAAGGCTCTCAGAGAGGACTTAAAGCCGTCGGTCCCCTGGTTGCATACTTATAGTACACTCACATGCTTGCTTTCTTAGCAGTCAGGTAAAACAAACCAACCAACAAACAAACTTAAAGCCCCACTGCACTACTTACAGCTACTTGCGCCCTCTATAAAGCAAACAAAGCCTAATCGGTGACCATTGGTCCCCCATGGTCCTCTTTTTCTTATGTTAATTGAGAGCGGATTCGATGAGATAACCACCTGTCAGTGACCTTGCAGGGAGGTCCAATCCCTCTGCTATAATTAGTGCAGTGGGGCTTTAATGTGACCTACCTTGTAGTAGATGTGAAGAATGAGAAACTCTCCTGTATTCCAATCTAGAGGGGGTGATCCCATGTTAAACCTCTCTTCAAGGTGAGAGAACTTCAGGCCATCTGTCCCCTGGTCGCTTACTTACAAGCACATACATACTTTCTTAGCAGTCAGGTAAAACAAACCAAATAAATCTGACCTACCTTGTAATAGATGTGAAGAATAAGAAACTCTCCTGTATTCCAATCTAGAGAGGGTGATCCCATGTTAAATCTCTCTTCAAGGTGAGACTTCAGCTCCTCAATGAAACTACAAAGACAAAAAACAAGAATAGTCAGAGGGGTGTCAATTCAGTTTCAAGCGGTTAAAGTGTAGCAATCAACGAAGCATGTTTCTGCTCTTGATGTGAGGGATTCCATGTTGCTAATGTATGTACATGTATCTAAACTATCTACCGTATTTGCCGGCGATGAGGCCGCACTGCCGCATAGGCCGCACCCCCGATTTTGACATTTTAAAAAAAAAAGGAAAAAAAAAACATACGGACAGGCAGATTTGGTGTCCGATATATACCCCTACCACAATGTACAGTGTTATGCGAAACTGCATAAAACGGAAAAACAAAATGGCGACTTCGGATGGATGATCGCAGCAGCTCCGTTAAAAGGGTCCCTTCCTTTACTTTTGCAATGCATTGGCATGAACTTAGATCAAGATCTATCGGAAAATGTTGTGTTAGGAATTTTATTTTCGTCTTCATGTCAACAATGCAAGGTAAAATTGTCGGTAAGAAGTGTGGAAATGTCCTGTACCATAGTGGTATAGTTATTTTACCGTTTCTAGTCCCATATGCGCAAATTCTTGCTGGTTTTGACTTTTGTTTTTTTGTTTTTTTTACTCTTTCGTCGTAAAGGCCGCACCCCGACTTTTTCACATTTTCTCTTCCAAAAATACTGCGGCCTTTACGCCGGCAAATACGGTATTCAAAATATGAGTTTCAAATATGACTTGTACAAAGAGATATTGCAATTATAAATACATTCTCAGACTATCTTGTTGAGTAGACGCGTACCATTATAGAGGGGTATGTCAATTCGGTTTCAAGAGGTTTAATAAAGTTTAGCAATCAACAAAACATGTTTCTGCTCTTGATGTGAGGGATTCCATGTTGCTAATGTATGTATCTAAACTATCTATTCAAAATATGAGTTTCAAATATTACAAAGAGATATTGCAATTTGAATACATCCTCAGTGAACACTCCTGTTGAGTAGACGTGTACGCACTCACAATAGAATATTGCTCGCATGGAACCAAGGTTAGTCGTGGGTTTTTTTGCAAGCCCAATAGGCAGGTTTAATGTTATCCTTCATTTTGTTCATACTCCTTTTACCTGTGCCGACAATTTAAAAGTTGCAAGGTAAAGATTTTTAGGGTTGATTTTATACATTCTAACTAGTTTACACAAGTTTTTTTTCTTAAGCTTAATGGTACATTTTGTACATGTGCCCTAAATTTAATGTTTTTGTCAAATTCAAATCTTGAAATCTTTATTCTACTCATTATCGCCTTACAGTGTAATCATTCTTTCACATCTTCCTATATCATAACCTAAAAAATGAGTCTAAAAAATGTACTTGATAAAAAATTTGAGCTCATAATTGCCACATCTTCAAGCTCTCTCGGCAAACTTTGCCTTGCTGCAGAATTAACCTGAATTCATTGAGATCACACAGATGAACATTAACAAAGAGCAACAAAAAAAATGGAAGGAAAAAAGCTTACATCTAGGCAATCACTAATGAATGAGAGAAGAAAAAAAAAACATTATTGAAGAGTTCATTAAGTCTACAATGAAATATATTTTAAAACCAAATCTCATACCAAAAAAAATCTGATATTGTATGAAAGAACTATTAGCAGACATGAACAAATATTACTATGTCAGAGCTTATCTTTACCTCAAACAAAGACTGAATGTAGATTGTAATCAAGCTTTACTCTTAATGTTTGTTTAGATTAGCTGAATACTTCACAAAGGTACAGGAACAATGACATTCACGTCATTCACAAATCATTCATGAATGATATGTGAATGACAAATGTTTTATGTACATGTATCATGTTTGACATTAGGTCAGAATATGAATTATGCCAGACTTGTGGATTCCTAGTAAATGATTTATGCACACAATTTTTTTCTTTAAGATTTTGTATAAATGAATTGTGCAAAATGCAACTCTTTTCCCTATAAATGCAGTCTCTCTCTTTCTCCCTCTCTCCCTCTCTCTCTCTCTCCCTCTCTCCCTCTCCCTCTCTCTCTCTCTCTCTCTCCTTCCCCCTCCCCTCCTCCTTCCCCCTCCCCCTCCCTCTCTCTCTCTCTCTCCTTCCCCCTCCCCTCCTCCTTCCCCCTCCCCCTCCCTCTCTCTCTCTCTCTCTCTCTCTCTCTCTCTCTCTCTCTCTCTCTCTCTCTCTGTTTCTGGAGGGAGACCATTGAATATTTGGTCTCCCACACATTTGCTTAAATACACATTCCTGGGATTTTGCCAGTACTTTATTCCCCGTAGGGAAAGCTAAAAATAACCGGCCAGATCTAACATTCCATGACAAACACAGCTGATCAGTCAAATGGAACACAATTCTGCAAATACTACAAATAAAGAAGTGCTATTATGACCTGCACAATTGAAATGTGAGCTTGTTGTGCGTGACCATGCAAACTCGGCAAATAGAATCAGTTTGCAGTAGCATACACAAGGGCACTGACAAGATAATTCTTCTGATTGTTTGTATAATCCCTGGGATTTTTGGGTCAGGAAGGACAAATCCAATGCTAATCCATACCACAATGAGTTATTTTAAGGAAAGAAAACCAATTTTATTATTATTTAAATGTCACAATGTAGCCTACAGTGTTTATGTATTATCTGCAAGGGTGAAATATCGAAAGTACATGGTACATGTATGTTACATTAAAGATAAACTTGAGTTCTGGTAAATATACAAAATAAATTCTTACAGAATCCAACAAAACTTACAGTGAATGTTCAAGATTACAAATAAATGTCATGTGCCAAACAATTTTGGTAGAAAATGTATAGTGGCTGAGTAATGAGCATAGAAAGATAAGGTAATCCGGGTAATAAGTACATATAGGCTCGACACCATGTGCTTAACACCGGTCACTACCGTTATGTGCAAATGGGAGTTGTGGTTTTTATTGAAGATGATGCCCAGTAAGTTTCTGTGCATTTGTTTTCATTTCACTGGTTCAAACAACCAATCTACTGCAGAATAAAAAAATCCAGAATAAATTATAGCAATTTTCTCTCAAAATACAACTCACATACCAGAGCTAAAGGTTAGCTTGAACATGCACAGTGTACTTATTTAGAACTGACTGTAACTACTTAAGATATTTATATTCAAATAAAGCTATAACAATGATGCAGGAAATTTGTCTAAATGGTTGTCTTCTTCTTCTCAAATCAAAGCAAAAGTTCATAAAGTTCAATTAGGTTAAATTGAGCAGTATGTATATCTCTGTGTACCTAATCTATAATAATTGACTGTTTACTTTTCATGTGTGAAAGCAAATATGATCTTACTCAAAAGTAAATTTTCAATGTTTTGTAGTCCTCAAATAAAAAACATTTTGATCTTGAAGTTCATGCTTGAAGTATTTTTCTTTCTTTTTTAATGAAATCACAGCTAATGATGTACATGTAGGGTATTATTACATGTGCAATGTATGTAGGATACATTGCAATTTATGACAGATTTGTGTAATGTAGGATTAGCATACAATCTTTAATATAAACAGTAAATTCTTTTCAAAATGAACAAATCTTTGTTTATTATTTGGTGTCTGCCCAAGTTAGAGGTTTTTAAAACTATTATTTAGCTGAAATAATGTAAAGGTGAGTTTTGATAATGTGCATGTAAAAACATAGTGAATTTCATCTCTACTATTTTGCAGATACAAATAATGCAGAACAGATGTGAATCACAATTTTTTAAACCAAAATGAAGAACCAAGATTTGTTCATTTTTAAAAGATATACAGCTGTTTATCCAAAGTGGAGAAATGAAAAAGATTTACTTCAAAATAGAAATTACGCTCAAATAGCTTCCTAACGGTCATTTCCAAATATAGAAAGCTTGAAAAACAAGCTGATTGTGGCTTTATTGCATTCCCCATCAATCATAAACCTAACAACCCTTTTATCATCTCGATCATCTAACCACAAACCACTTCCTCAATAATGGAGTGTGATTACAACACGTCTATTAATAGCACAGATGCATACACTGAAGAGCAATAAGAGATGCTGATTACTAAACAGGTTCATCTGTATACAAATTTACTATTGATGCAACATGCAGTATTAAATCATATAATACATGTACATGTACATGTACATCTATATGACAGTTTCTAACAGTATTTTTTGACATTTACCTATTTTAGTTCCTTCTTAGAGCTACAAATTTGTTATTTTAATTACTTATCATTCCTACTTATCATTCCTAAGTTTCATTTGAGGGGTTCAAAATTGTACAAGCATTGATTTTTAGTGGACACCTATGTTTCCAATATCTATTCCTTAATCATTGTATAAATGATTATAATTGATTTGTAATGTTTTGTTGGAAACAGAAATAGAATTGAATTAAATTGAAATGACATTTAATATGGAATGATGCAAAAGATTAGTATGGAGCCCTGCTATTTGTGAGCTTTATAATAAAACCTTCCCTGAATCAAATAAATTCTTCTTTTTGATTCCTTGCGTACATTAAATAAATTCTTCTCTTTGATCCCTTGCAGAAATAGATATCAAAAGAGTAGGTACATTATTTACCAACTGTCTGATCATGAGTCAATACACAAAGAAGATAAGTAAGATGAGTAAACAGACTATATGCAGACAAGTTGACTCTGATCTACGGATGCGGATTCTAAGCGATAAGCAGGTCATGCAAGGTCAATATTGTGTTGTAGTTCCTTCTCAAGTATTTAAAAAGGAGGTGAAGAGTTGTGGTACAGTGGTTCAATCATTTGACTTCAATCAAAAGGTTGAGGGTTCAATTCTCAGCCTGCTTCTAAAATTCTTTGGCAAGCCTTGAATCAATGATTGCCACTCTTGACCAACATCTTAAGGGTTACCCTAGATTTGATGGAACTCTATATCTTTGGCCACTAGGTTACGACCAGGATAATGCCACAAAATTTCAAAACATAGGCCATGTAATGTTCCACTTAGACCGCATGTTGGTAGACAGGGTTGATTTTCAATAGTGAAATTTCTTTCTCTCCCTAGCAGTAAGCACCACATATAGCCTATAACTGCCATGTAGAAGCTGTAAATGCCATAAACATGTGCCATCCTGTATCACAAAGATGGCCACATGTACCTGTATGATGTTCTTACAACTTCACTTTACAGGAAAGTGTGCTTGATTGTTACATAAAAAATGTGACAGCCATCAGTCTCAGAATTTAAATATTGTTAAATCAGTGAACACAACAAAGAAAGATATGATAATAAGTCAAGGATTCAGTAACACAAAGACGTAATTCCATATTTTGCTAAAAATGAGTATTTGATATCAAAATGTTCAGAAAAATGTTGGCTATCCAGGAAACATAAAGACTTAACTCCACCCAACACCCCATTGAAGTCAATGGCTAGTGAAACAAAGACTTAACTCCTTAAGGCCCAAGTGCTCAGTGACACTTAAACCATATCTTTGAAGACTCACCTGTCATTGTATGTATGGAATACAACGGTTACAGCGAATGAGATCTGAGGAGACACAGAATGAATGTTGTATTTCTGTAATCCAGTGTACTTGGCTTGCACTCCTAGCAGAAGATCTGGAGGGGAAAAAAATGTATTTGGTATGTCAATGATCATTTTGGAATCATTTGGACCCAAATTTACTGAGGAAGTTTAAATCTGAACCATTATTTAGATCTCTCTCATGGACTTTATACACATAGTGAATAATATCAGCTCATTTGAAATGAGGACATGTGTTAACTGCGCTTAATATAGTATTGGATTTGTATGTTTAGTTTTTACTTCAAGTAAATGTAAGTAGCAAAACGTGAACAACAGCCTCATCAGACATTTAAACATTGATAATTTCTTCATGAATACTAAGTTAGAATAAGACTTGTATCCTTAACGTTTGGAGCATAATGCATTAGAGGAGAAGCAATATGGAAAGAAAAAAAATAAAAAATTAAAAGAGGAGAGAGAGAAGCTTAAGAGAATAATAATAAAGAAATTTGAAATGAACAAAAAGATAAAGAGCTTAAATAGTAACAGGAAGAAAAATATCAAAATGAAAATAGAGAAAAGATGTCTTGAGTTTAGACTCACCATGTAGCGCAGGTTTATCATAGAAGTTTCCCATGAAGACTGATCTACCAGGATAAGGGTCTTCTTGGAAACGATCAAAGCTGCCTTGCCATACATTAGCTGGTGACACTACGAGGCAGCTATGCTCAGGCATTACACCCTTCACATGATCAGCGACATCGGATACATACAGGCATGAGGATCGCAGTAAGACGCTAGATATATTAGAAGAGAGCGGACATTTATAACTTTCGGTTCTAAATATTCATACAGGCATGATCAAGGAGAAGAGGGGTGACATTCATAAAGGAAAAAGGTTTTACAAATTCCCCAAAGTTGTAGGTTACATTTTGGATATGAAGGGGAGAGATTTTATTTAGAAATCTTACAAACTTCAAATTTTCTATGGAAACTGGCTTTCGACACTACCTAAAAAGGTGGGCCATATTCTGAAAATGAGGTACGTTATCTTATAAATGTATGTAAGTGGAAATGGTGTTGACCATCTCAAGAGACTGCAATTGCACAAGTGCCTATTAATGGTGCTTGTGCAAATATCTCTCTAACATGTGTACTTGTATTGTATGTCACCTATGCACAGCTACATGAATGCACAGAAATTTAAATAGCCAATGACTCACACAAATTTAAATTTGTAATGACTATTAACATACCTAAAAGATAACATACGGTAGGTTAAAATACTACCACAGGAAATATGAATATAATCCCTCCTAATTCACCTTTTTTCCCCTTCTTCTTCTCATTCAATTTCTCATAGTACCAATACATGAATACAAACTCTTTAGAAATTAAAATAGAGCATCAAAATAAATTTATTTTGACAAATTCATCACAATAGATTACAAAGAAACTCTTGAGTGTTTCTAAAAACTTACTTTGATTTTGAGCTGAAACTCTTGATTTCTTTGTCCAGCTCAAAAGCCTTTGACAGAGGTCCTCTCACATCATCTCCGTAGGTCAATCCTGGTTGCCATGGTGATACTGATGCATTAATAACAACCTGCAACACATAGCCCACTGGTGGTCGGGAAAACTGGGAAGAGAAAAGCAAATACTGAACGTAAAATTTGAGGATGATGTCAACACTACATTTAAATTAGCAAAGAAAAAAAAATAAAAATGTTCTTTTATCAATTATAATACAATACCTAATACAGGGCTCGAATTACCCACCGGCAATCGGCAATTTGCCGCCATGCCCCTCTCACTGGCCGGAATGCCCTTTTCAAAATCGAACCGTTTACGGCCACAATATTTCAATCCACAAAAGTTTTGCCGACATTATAGTCATCGTAATCCAACCCGACTTGTAATGTTCAAAAAGGTTTTGTTGCCCCTCCGGCGCTCTAAAAACAATAATAGTCGGCAAGGTTTCGTTGCCCCTCCGGCGCTCTAAAAACAATAATAGTCGGCAAGGTTTCGTTGCCCCTCCGGCGCTCTAAAAACAATAATAGTCGGCAAGGTTTTGTTGCCCCTCCGGAGCTCTAAAAACAATAATTACCGGAAGGTTTTGTTGCCCCTCCGGCGCTCTAAAAACAATAATAGTCGGCAAGGTTTTGTTGCCCCTCCGGAGCTCTAGAAACAAAGATAGTCGGCAAGGTTCTGTTGCCCCTCCGGAGTTCTAAAAACAATAATAGTCGGCAAGGTTTTGTTGCCCCTCCGGAGCTCTAAAAACAATAATAGTCGGCAAGGTTTTGTTGCCCCTCCGGAGCTCTAAAAACAAAGATAGTCGGCAAGGTTCTGTTGCCCCTCCGGAGCTCTAAAAACAATAATAGTCGGCAAGGTTTTGTTGCCCCTCCGGAGCTCTAAAAACAATAATAGTCGGCAAGGTTTTGTTGCCCCTCCGGAGTTCTAAAAACAATAATAGTCGGCAAGGTTTTGTTGCCCCTCCGGAGCTCTAAAAACAATAATAGTCGGCAAGGTTTTGTAGCCCCTCCGGAGCTCTAAAAACAATGATAGTCGGCGAGGTTTTGTTGCCCCTCCGGAGCTCTAAAAACAATAATAGTCGGCAAGGTTTTGTTGCCCCTCCGGAGTTCTAAAAACAATAATAGTCGGCAAGGTTTTGTTGCCCCTCCGGAGCTCTAAAAACAATAATAGTCGGCAAGGTTTTGTTGCCCCTCCGGAGCTCTTAAAACAATAATAGTCCGCAAGGTTTTGTAGCCCCTCCGGAGCTCTAAAAAAAATAATTGTCGGCAAGGTTTTGTTGCCCCTCCGGAGCTCTAAAAACAATAATAGTCGGCAAGGTTTTGTTGCCCCTCCGGAGCTCTAAAAACAATAATTACCGGAAGGTTTTGTTGCCCCTCCGGAGCTCTAAAAACACTAATAGTCGGCAAGGTTTTGTTGCCCCTCCGGAGCTCTAAAAACAATGATAGTCGGCAAGGTTTTGTTGCCCCTCCGGAGCTCTAAAAACAAAGATAGTCGGCAAGGTTTTGTTGCCCCTCCGGAGCTCTAAAAACAATAATAGTCGGCAAGGTTTTGTTGCCCCTCCGGAGCTATAAAAACAATGATAGTCGGCGAGGTTTTGTTGCCCTTACGGAGCTCTAAAAACAATGATAGTCGGCAAGGTTATGTTGCCCCTCCGGAGCTCTAAAAACAATGATAGTCGGCAAGGTTATGTTGCCCCTCCGGAGCTCTAAAAACAATAATAGTCGGCAAGGTTTTGTTGCCCCTCCGGAGCTCTAAAAACAATAATTATCAGCAAGGCTTTGTTGCCCCTACGGAGATCTAAAACAATGATAATCGGCAAGACTTTGTTGCCCCTATGGATATCTAAAAACAATAATTATTGGCGAGACTTAATTTCCACTATGGAACTCCTAAATTAATTGGCGGGACTTAATTGCCGATACGGAGATATGAAAGAATGTCTTCATCAAAATGACTGAAAAGTGTGGAACAAAAACCGTAATGACTCAGGCTTAGTTTGTCAATCCATCCTTTTTATTTGGACCAATCAATATCGGGAAGTTTTGTTTACCCATCGTTGGTTCAACATCTTCACTTCGCGTTGTGACCTTTTTTGGTGCGTTTTCACAGTTTTTAATCAGTGAAAAACTTGGATTTTTCTCGGGAGGAGGGTCTGGAATTAAATCAGAAAAGGATTAAGAGTCGAGATAATGGTACATAGAATCGTCTTCTTTCCCATACGTTTTCATTAAAACGTCATAGCTTCCGCCCATCGCGCGGGAGGGGTGTGAATTGAGTTCAGAAAAGGATTAATACTGGTAGTCGAGATCAGACGAATCGTCTTCTTTCCCTAATAATTTATTAAAAACGTCTAAGCTTCCGTGCTTCCCTTGGAATTCAGAAAAGGATAAAGAGTCAAGAACGGTACAACGGATCGTCTTCTTTCTCTAATAATTCAATGAAACGTCAAAGGGGGAAACTCCCCACTCCCTCCAGCTCCCCCCCCCCCCATTTTTTTTTTGAAAGCATTTTAAAGAGAAATAGAAAGAAAGAGAGCAAGAAAGAAAAATAGTTAACTACCAGTTTCTCAACAAAATAAGGTATCAAAAATTGCTCATCTGACCGTAATTAAACGCCTAAATTAAAACCCCTGAGCTTCCGGGGGCTCTGCCCCCGGGACCCAACCAAGGGCCCTTTGGCAGGCCCCTTGATACTCATCTGACTACAATTTAGTGCCTAAAACCCTTGATCTTCTAGGGGCTCCTCCCGCTGGACCTCACGCCAATCAGTGTCCTGCCAGTGTCACAAATAAAGTATAAAAATATGTTCATCTGACCGTAATCAAATGCTTAAACCCCTGAGCTTCCGGGGGCTCTGCCCCCTGGACCCCACTGGATGCTAATCTGACGGTAATGTAATGCTTTAAACCCATGGGCTTCTGGGGGCTCCACCTGCTGGACCTCACGCCAATCAGTATCCTGCCAGTGTCACAAATAAGGTATAAAAATATGTTCATCTGACCGTAATCAAATGCCTGAAACCCCTGAAATTCAGGGGTTTCCGCACCCTCGACTCCACCAGGGGCCCTGAGGCGGGCCCCTGAATGCTTATCTGACCGTAATTTGCCTTCAACCCATGAGTTTCCGGGGGCGGATAAGGTATCAAAAGATGTTCATCTGACCGCAGGCACGTAGCCGGGGGGGGGGGGGGGGGCAGTGGGGGCGCCCCCCCCAAAAAAAAAGCCAAAAAAAGAGGGAGAGAAAAGGAAGAGGACGTATGAAGAAAAAGGAGCAGACAAAAAACATTTTTGAAATTCAGACAAGGATTAAGAGTCGAGAACGGTACAACAAATCGTCTTCTTTCTCTAATGATTTAATGAAACGTAAAAGCTTCCGCGCTTTGCGCGGGAGGGGGAAAACTGTATTCATGCAGACGAGGATTATTTTCGAGAACGGTACAACGAATCGTCTTGTTTCTCTAATAATTAAATTAAATGTCAAAGCTTCCGCCCTTCGATCGCGCAGGAGGTGGGGTAACTGAATTTAGACAAGGATTAAGAGTCGAATGCGGTACAAGGAATCGTCTTCTTTTTCTAATGATTTAATGAAACGTACAAGCTTTCGCGCTTCGCGCGGGAGGGGGAGGGGAAAACTGAATTCAGACGAGGATGAGGGGTCGAGAACGGTGTAACGAATCGTCTTCTATCTCTAATGATTTAATGAAATGTAAAATCTTCTGTGCTTCGCGCGCGCGGATTGGGGTGGGGGGAATTGAATTCAGACGAGAATTAAGAGTCTAGAACGGTAGGCTACAACGAATCGTCTTCTTTCTTTAATGATTTAATGTATTGTAAAAGCTTCCGCGCTTCGCGCGCGCAGATGGGGGGGGGGGAACTGAATTCAGACGAGGATTAAGAGACGAGAACGGGACAACAAATCGTCTTCTTTCTCTAATGATTTAATGAAACGTAAAAGCTTCCGCGCTACGCGCGGGAGGGGGAAAATTGTATTCAGACGAGGATCATTTTCGAGAACGGTACAACGAATTGTCTTGTTTCTCTAATGATTTAATGAAACGTACAAGCTTCCGAGCTTTGCGCGGGAGGGGGGTGAATTTAGACGAGGATTAAAAGTAAAAAACGGTACAACGAATTCTCTTCTTTCTCTAATGATTTAATGAAACGTAAAAGCTTCCGCGCATTGCGCGGAAGGAGGGAAACTGTATCCAAACGAGCAGGCACGTACGCAGGGGGGGGGGGGGGGGTTGGGGCGTTATGTCTGTATTTTGGAGCAACACCCCCCCTCCCCCTTATTTTGTGATGTTTTTTTTAATTTTTTTTTTAATGAAACACACAAAAAAAAAAAATTATGCCAATGGCTGATCTAAAAAAGGTGACCTCACCACCCCCCCCCCCCCCCCCAACGGGAACAAAATGTCAAATTTTCAAATTTCGAGACCAAAAAAAAAAAAAGTGTCCTCTTACCCCCCCCCCCCCCCCCGCTTATTCAGCGGCTGGCTGAGTCGTTGCGATTTGTGGCCCCCCCCCCCCCCAAAAGAAATCCTGGATCCGCCCCTGGGCACACATATCCCCCCCACCTTGAAAAAAATGACGTGAGGGGATTTTACGCGCACTTTCCACGTTGGCCTTAGTGCCCCATAGGATAGATTTGTGCCCCTTTCAGTGGATTTGTGCCCTCTCAAAAAAGTGGCCTTGACCCAAATTTGATGTAATTCGAGGCCTGCCTAATACACACAAAAACTTCTGAAAGCACAAATCAATAAGTATACATGTCTGTTGTACATATAACAGATTAAATCAAAGACCACTAAAAGTCAACTGTTTAAATTCTTAAAAATCCCCATTCATTACACCTCACTATTCATTTAACATCCATTCCCCAAACATTATGAGAGAAATAAGTCAAAGTACACCTGATATCAGTTTGCTATTTATGTAGGAATGTATTTATGATGTCAGTCATAATAATGTACTTGTTATGAATGGAATGGTCTTGACTCATTCTTGTTCAATATTAACTTTACACCCTTTTGGCTATCAGCATACAATATCATGTTTATACCTGTGTTTATATTTAATACCAATGGGTAACATATTTTTGTATTATTAGTTTATTATGGACAATAAAACTTTACTCTTGAATCTATTTTGAGATATGCTGAGCTTTTTTTGCTTTTTTGTTTTGCTTTTTTTCCAGTAACCACCTCAGCGACGAGAGAAATTGTTCACTGAGAATTACTTGAAGACATACATTTGATTTAACTTCTTATCAGGAAGGACAGTGACGTTAGTCATCAGACAGTGTATGGGTTCCTCTCTTCTGAAAATGAATTTCTAATAACAACTAGTCGATGAATCAACAATGAATCATTCCAGTCATACAGTAATCATAGTAACAATTAATATTTGAATATCACTTTACCAAACTAGAGTAACTAGACACAATTCAACTACATCTAAATCAATGTGTACAAAGCAAAGTCCACTGGGTAAGTGTCCCCTTCTGAAGGGCCAGAATTACCAATATGAGAAGATCAAAGGTCATCTATTTCCTGTTAGTATCATAAACATTTATGCACTGAGAATAGATAGTAAAATGATAGAAACATGTGGATAAAAAAGAAGTACATCTCCACATGTGTGAAACAGTGGAACCATGCCTCACCTCTCCCCCTCCCCCACCCACCCTTTCTCTTTATCTCTCTCTCTCTCTCTCTCCCTCTGTCTCAATGCTATTTCTTCATTCATCAAATGAAAACATCTATACTTTGTTTTACTTTACACATTTCTGTTCTTTTTTAAAGGTGTCCTATCTAGCAAACAAATAAGAAATACACGATAGAAAGCGGGAGAAATACAGAGAAAAACAGAAAGACAAACAGTGAAAATGAAGAATACGTACATGTATTTACATTCTTTTTGCTGTTTATAACAACTCAATCACATTCAAAAACCTTAGTAATGAAAGTGGATTGTCCATGCACCACTACAATCTAAAAGGAAAGAGATAATAAATTCTACTCTAAAACCTGTTTAAAGACAACCAAAACAAAAGGGTAAAAAAGATAAGAGTTGTGACTATAGACAAATTTAGATACCAAAGCTTCTATCTTTTTCATAGAGGGTGATAAGTAACCTAACTGCTACAGACAGGTGTCCTGTATAGAGAAGTGACCACTATTGAAATTGAAAAAAGACTATTATGTTAGAATGCTCACCCATTGTGGTCTTTTACTGTGGTCAATGGCAGTCTTGTTATCAGGCAGCTGTTTGGTGTAGAACTTTCTCGCTGTGTCCGGGAAGCCTTTCAGAGGTGTAGTGTACTGATAGGGTGCCGTCAGTGTCAGGGGAACAGCGAAAAAGCATGGAAGACTGCACACAAATAGAAAGAGAAATGAGATAGACTGTGAAATGTGCAAGGAAAATTGGTTGTTTTTATATTTGATAAATAGAAAGAAAGAAAGGAATCTACATGTATGTGCATGGTTAATAATTCCTTACAGTTGAGAACTAGATTCTTGACAAAGATCAAGCTCACCTTACTTCTGTCTTCTAATATAATCAATAACTTGAAAACAACCCCCTCTATAAAAGTGCACACAGACCTTATTTGATCAGTGCTACAATATATGCATAACAAGGCAAACCATTCAAATTAATAAAAGTCTGTTTACACTTGAATCAAATCAATATAGCAAAGTAATACAATACTCTAATCTTAAATATTTCCTGAAAGCATAAAGAGGGAGTGAATATCTATGCCAAGAAATATGAAAATTATTCCTATTACGGCGTGTACCCATTTTCTTGAAGGTTGAGTTCTGGGAAGAGGTGAAAAATAATTTGTGAGAGTTATCATTGTTATTAAGCAAGTGTGGAAGAACATCAAATAAAAAATGTTCCCTGAAAAGCAAGGCTCTTCAAATGCCTTAAAATTCTAAATATGGCATGTAACAGCATAAACATCGGGATGGATTTTTATGCCACATGTTTGTGTAGTCCCATATACATGTAGATATTTCTGTGTACAGTGCTTGTAACATTCCCAAGACTGGGCCAAATTTCTTATCATTTTGATGATTCCAGAACCTTGTAGTACACACCAATACTAGATGATCAACCTTTTCTGATCGATTCCACAACGTTTCTTTCACAATCCAATCGCATGACCAGAACTCAACTTTATCTTTAAACTGACCTGCACAGCACAGCGATGACCACTGAGAAGACGATGAGAGCTATCGGGTAGTTGGAACAGAAGAGGCCATAGTTGTAGAACATTCTGGACACCATCTCCCGCATCTTGCTGACCATCCCATACTCAGCAGCCTCCCCCATCTCAACCATGTGTAGATCTCCCTACTCAGTGGTGAGGACTTGAGGGGGGTCCTGAGGGACAAATGGGTCCGAAGGTTTCCTCGCAAAGTGACAACTGTTGATCACTTTCTTACTGGTCCCTGTCAAGCAAATGTCAGAAAGAACTCATGTTGAAGTAAAATGTAAGAATAGAAAATTAAAATAAAGATTTGGGTCTAATATAAATACACAAGGAAGAAATTCTTTGAAGTTTGAACAATTTGGATAATATCCATACTTTCACATATTATCATCTTTGATTTCTACAATTACTTTCTGAGAAGAGTTCTAGTTCTCTGGGGTTGGACAAATGCTGTGATGCAATGAAGCGCTACTGTGTGGAGTGAATGATGGTTTTTAATTTCATAAAATTTGCATCGGCACAGACTTTGATTTCATCATTTCTTCCTTAGCCTCCAACATCAAGCGATTCACTGCTTCATCCTCGAGCGCCGCACTTCAACTCTTCTAGTCCGAGAGCATCATCATCTTCACGAGCGTCCGCTACGACATCGCTTTCTTCACGGCTCTTCTTCAGCCACTTCAACAAAGTCGCGTTTCCGCCTTCAAGCCTCCGCTTCATCATGGTGTGAGGCGTGCCCCTTTACTTGTCATCACCCGGCACCCGCCATCATTTCCATTGGACTTTCGACGTCATTTCTACTTTGTCGAAAGCTTAATTTATTCACTGCATTTATTCATGTCCATCTCATTTAGTACAAGACCAATTTATCTTCGACTACATGTACATTTGCTCATTGTATTTAAATAGTAGGGGCGCCACGAAGAAGAATTACACACAAAACTCGCGCATGCTCAATGCGCTCTTCTGTTCGCTCAAGCCCGACTGACGTCATTTTTCATTCACAAAGTGCTAGCGTCACGATGCTCGTAGTTGATTGGGTGTTTACTCATTTCATTTGCATATTTTCCCACAATGTTAAACCTAGTATTTCTGCCTGCGACTTCTCGATTACGTTGATATCAAAGTAATCAAACTCGTTATATTTCCATCCCGACTTCGATTTTTGAATAATTTTTTTCGCCATCGGTGTCATCGATATTTCTAGGTACATTCAGCAAAATCGTATGGTGGTTCTTTGTTTCGGTAAGTCATATTTTTTGATGATTTCGTCAGAAGTTTTTGTAAAGTATATGTATGTGTAGACCGAAAGCTTCAGTCTCTATAATCGTCGGTTGTTCCACTGAGACTACGTCTGGCTCCACTAGACCTCCGGTTATAGAGACTGAACGACTGCCTATGCCAGCCTGTGTTGAACTTATTCCGCTAGATTTTAGCCGCTAGGCCCCTCCCACAAACTTGCCACGGCCGTATTGTTATGCCCCCAAAATCCCCCAAAATGTCATTTTACCTCGTTCATTTCCAATTTTAAATTAGGCCTAGGCTATTAATACATCGGTTCCACTTACTAACTTGATTGATATAATCCGTTTAATGGTCCCTTTTAAGGAAATTATCGGTCAAAATCGACATCCATGTTGAAAATCTTGCAAGCCGTGTTAAACTCTCGCTGCCGTCAATCTCATCCCTTCTAGTCTACGCCGAAGGCAAAATGATTATGAAGGAAAAACTGTGATAACGCCATTACGAACGTGTAGATGGCGCACAAGTGGCAAGTTTGTGGGAGGGGCCTAGCGGCTAAAATCTAGCGGAATAAGTTCAACACAGGCTGGCATAGGCAGTCGTTCAGTCTCTATAACCGGAGGTCTAGTGGAGCCAGACGTAGTCTCAGTGGAACAACCGACGATTATAGAGACTGAAGCTTTCGGTCTAATGTATGTGTAGGTTGAAGTGTGTGTAAAACTACGTGCAAATTTTATGTGAGCGACATGAGTGTGTAGAGAGCGACATCATTGAAACCACATGTACACTGAAAGTGTGTCTTTGGTCGCTATTTTTTGCTTGGTGTTCGGTCTGTGTTCGGCGTGGCTAGGTCAGGCCAGGCTGCTCGCCTGTCGAGTGTAGTGCACCAGGTACAATACACCGTGCACAGTGTAGCGAATCGACCATGCCTCGCAGCTAGCAGACAAGCGAGGGTCGCGCGATCAGCCAATCAGCAGCGCGTATTTCCGTTCACTGAGTTGGATAGGGGATTCTTCTACGTGGGCGCTGGTCCGAGAATGAAGATGTCCTCGTAAAAGTGGACAACTTGTGTCCAAAAAAATAAGGATCGTCCGCGAAATGCGGACAGTTTTTCATCGACACCCTGCGGGCTTCGGGTCCCCGAAACGCGCGCTGGCGATGCAAAAACCGGTTTCGCATAAGAAAATAACCCCAGTTCACCGTCTACTTTTATGTGTTGTCTGTCCTTCCTAGGATTTATTGCTCATAACATGAAAGTCTCTGTACAACGTGCGGATCGGAAATATGAAATTTTTGCAAAAATGCAGACGATCCTTGCTTGATTGCGGAAGCATCTGTCGCGTTTACAACAAAGACGATCCTTGGTTATTCTCGGACCAGAGCCCTTGTGTATTCAGTGAACACGCCATTTGCAAAACAATCACATTTACAACACCACCTCACACTGGTAATTCTACACTTTCATAGACATTGTTACTAGATCTAATTAATAATCTGAGCTGACTCTGTTCTGCCAGACTTGGATTGGAGCCCTCGCGCTCGCCCGAGTACAAACTACAACCGTCGAGCCGGGAGATTCCCGGCGCGCAATCCCGCTCTGGCTTCGTCCCTAAGTAACAAAGTCAATCAATGGACATTCAAATGTTTACAAGCTCCGTTAGGTCTGAAAACGAACCGTGAACTAATGATGATAATGATATTTTTCATGTGATATAAATCCGTATTTCATTGCTATATACTGCACTCACCAAATATATCCCAAAGTGAAGTAATTTCAGTAAATTCAGTCATGCGACACACCTTTTTTTCCCGAAAAAGAAACCATTAGCCGCCATAACAGAAACATGAAATGGAATAGCGCCAGCTATCGGTACAGTCGAAACATATCTCACTTCTAAAAGTTAGCTAAATAATTATTAGTAGAGACTGTAGCGTAATATAATAAATAGTCACTAGGTAGTCACCCCTTATCCATTAAAATTTGACCCCTCAAAGTTAAGTTATTGAGACCATCTAACTCACTGACAAAAAAGGTTTGTTTGACTGACAGTAGATTTAATGTCGGATTCAGCCCCAGAGCCGCCCCCCCCCCCCAAGTGGGTTGGGGAAGTATAAGTGGGAGAAGAGTTAGCATTTATATAGCATTTGTTTGTAGGGCAACTTGTAGAACGGACCCTTTGTGACCAAGTAAATGAACAATTTTTTTCTTCTTCATAAATGCTCATTGATGTTAGGTGAAAAAAAAGTCCGCCATCATACAATGATACAATTTTTGTATCTACATGCTCATATCTTTAGTCGGGGCTATGATGGGGAAACATTAGTTCTTTCTTTTCATCATGAATTATATAAATTCAAATGCAATTACTTTTTATTTATTCATATATAGGCCGAAATTAGCGAAAGGGGTAATAAAAAATGTACTGTACTATGAGCACTTTTTATAGAATCGTTGGAGTATGCTAAATGCTTGTTTATTTGGCGAAATATCTTTTTCCTGATGGACAAAATAAAAGCAAACAAAACTAAACCATAATAATAATGATAATAAAATGCACTATCAAACATGGAAACTTGAAAAAAGAAATGAGTCTAATTATAATATTTTTTTTTAATCCATAATTTAAAGATATAAAAACTAAAAAGTTATAAAAGGGTCGACGATTTTTTTTTTTTTTTTTTAAGAAGCTGAACGTAACAACTTCAGTGTTGGATACGGTAATGTAAATAGGCTAGTACGATATATAACATTTTAAAATAATATAATTCATAAGCCCCTACAAATGTAAAATTGTATTACCATTCAGAAAAGGTTGCTACGATCTTATATATTTACCCAACTTTATCAAATAAAACTAAACGGGCAGCCTTGTTCTCTCAATCCTCCCATAAAGTCATGCACTGTCCAGTGTCCACCACAATTCCATAAGGAGTATTTTGGAGGGTCATCTATCAAGTACCAAAGAAGGAGCAATGTTACCCCAGAAGGAGCACTTATAGATGGAATCTTCTTCACCGTGATGTCGGGAAAAGAGGGTCAAACGTGGTTTATTTCTAATTTGATACCTGTGATTTGCAAATTTTGCTGAAATGACATGTTTTCCGATTTTTTTCTTACTTTTGCCAATTATGCCAGAGGTGGCACTCCCGATGGGGGGGGGGGGGGGATGGCACACTTTTTCAGATACCCGGCCAAAGTGCCCCTTTTGATATAGGACAAGTGCCCCTTTTCTAGTAGTAACTGTCCTCTTTTCGGGTGCGAGAAATTCTTCTTTTCACCTCTGATATGTTTGCCCATTTTCATTTTGACTCGTGCCCCTTTTCCTTTTTAGTAAGTGCACCTTTTCCTTTGTTATAAGAACTCTTTTCCCTTTTTATATAACCCCTCCTCTTTTTCGAAATGATCGTTTTAAATATCTGATAAATGCCCCTTTTAAAAATCTGCTCGGTGCCCTTTTCCATCAACAGATTCTCTAGTTCCATTCTCACAAGTGCCATTTTTCATCTCTGTTGAGTGTCCCTTTTCAGGTGCAATAAGTGCCATTTTCACTTCTGATAATTTCCCATTTTTCTTTGACACGAACACCTTTTCTTCTCTAATAACTGTCCTTTTCCCTTCTGATAAGTACCTAGTTACCTTTCCCCGTGACATGCACCCCTAATTCAAGGCGAATAAGAGCCCCCTTTTCTTTAATTTTCACTATATTTTCACTTTTTACTAATAAAAGAACTTTTCAGTCTTTCTTCATTAGATTGTGTTTAATACTTATCATGGTTTGTTTTTTGTCTTCCTTATAAGATGTAATTTTTCAAACTGCATTTGCTTGAATAATGTTCCCTTCGCTCGCTCGAAAATTAATATTCAGACCATCGCATCCATCTGCGAAGTATGTTGCTTAAGCAGTATCTTGTAACATTACCACATAGAGAAAGAAACAAATATTGATGTCATCCCTGCTATAGTAATCACAATCATGACGACGTAGGGGTATATATATATTATATAGGCCTACCAATGTCTAAAAATGGTGCTTGTGTTTTTAGTGATGTTTCCCCTTGTAGTTGCCCCATTTTTTCTTCCAAAAAGTGCCCTTTTTTGTTGGTGCCCCCCCCCCCTATTTTGGAAGACGCTCCGCCGCCCTTGCATTCTGCTACTTAATTGGTGGTGATGCGGACCCCCAAAAGTGTTTGCTCAGTACGCCACTGGGAGTGGAAGTCACGGCAAAAAAAAGAAAGAAAAATAGAGCGGGCATAAGAGGCGATTATAGAGAAAAGGAATGCAAAAAATCCTCTTTTGAAGAGAACTGTGGATGAAATCAAGAAACATGGCACAACCTCACCGTATCATAGAAGGAGAATTTCTGCAAAGATAAATGGTAACTAAAAAAAAACACGGGGAGTTTTATAAGATCTCTTTCATTTTTCGTTTGATGGTTGTAAGACACCATAAAGTTCGGGCAAGCCATTATTTCAACAAAATCATCTCAGCTCCGAGCCGTTGTAAGTAAAATTCCCCTTAATTTATCTCTTTTTTTAATCCTAAAAATACTGGCGAATGATCATATATGATTAAGATATTTCAGACTCCATAGGCTAAGTTAGGAATTAGTAGTTTAGTGTTTTAGGGAGAGTTGAACGGGTGACCGCTTTTTATTTTGTGAGTGAACTTTTCAGAGCAGGAGGGCTAGTATAACGAGAGCGAAGTAGCCGCGCCTGCCGCAGCTACAGGTCCAGGGTCGGCACTCGGCAAGGGCTCCGCCAACCCCACACTCGCGCACTCGGTAATCGCAATTGTTGTTTCTCGTTGACAATAGAAAGTTGAATCAATATGCCATCAGCGGCGTCGCTAAAGGGAGGGTGTGGGAGGTGCGACATCCCCCCCTCCCAACCCATCAGTCAGGATATTGTCTGTAAAATTGTGCTGCTACTTTAGCTAGATTGCTAGAGGCTTTTTGTAGAGCTGTTGGTAGGCAAATTCATGCAAAAAAATATATTCAAAAAATTGACTTGAAAACACATCAGACAATTAGTCTGAACCGAGTCAGGAGCAGATTTGAAGAAATTATATTTTTAAATGTTGTAAAACCAAAGATATAAGAAGAAAACTGACCAAGTATCTGTACTAAAAATCGTACATGCAAAATTGGTCGTACACATTCGACAGCTCTAAATGACGCGCACGGTTGCGTTACGTGCGTTCTCAAATCCAAAATCATACCTCACACACACACTCTCACCATACCGCGAATGGTCCGTCGTGGGGAGCTAGCCGGCTGAGAGTTTGCAGCGATACCAACGCAGCTTCGGAGCTCCGCAGCGCGCCATTTTAGCGGGACTCGGAAAGGTTCGCGGTGGGAAGGCAGCGGCCTAGCTTTTTGCCCAAACAACGCTAGATCGGCTGCTGGCAAAATGAAAATAACTACGATCGAGAACATCGTCGGTTTCTTAACTTTTCAGTGAGATAATTCTGAATTCTAATTGAGACTATATAATAAATTAAATCGACAAAGAAACCTCGGTAGAACTCTTATAACTATACAAAAGCTTGTTTATTTCTTCATTTGACATTTTGTTTTTGACCATTTTTTCGTGCGCGAGTCAATGCAAACTATGTAGAGTCTATTACCAAACTTTCAACACGCAAGGAACGGGGAACACTCGCGGACCTCGTATCAAATTCGTTGCAAAAAAAAAATCAAGGGTGATTTTGAAGCAGTGAAGAATATTGGCGCTGCAATGCGCAGAAATATACTTGAAAGAAACTTAAAAAAATCATACCTGAATTTTCAGAAAATCGTATTTGTATTAGTGTACCTAGATGTGAATTGTTTATAACTCAGATTTTATGAAGATTTGTCGGGAAAAAATGTCAATTTTTTCCGTTTGGTGGTCATTTCTAGGCTAATATTTTAAAAGTTACTTCAGTAATGGTCCCGATGTTTCTCTTATCATACTCGCATGTTATTCCTACATAGATTAAACATAGGATGGTTAAGGGTAAGACCGGATAACATTATAAAAAAGATATATCCTTCCAACCTCCCATATCCAAGTTTTGGGCTGATTATTGCCGACCCACCGCAGCAAGGCCATTCAGATTTTCGTACGCGACCGAAGCGCCCTCTAGTGCCCCATGAATGTGCCTACTGTTGGGGAAAAATGAGAAAAGGGGGAGGTAAAAAATGAGAGGGAAAAGAAGAAGAAAAAAATGGAAAAGAAAGGAAAGAGAAGAGAAGAGAAGAAAGAAATAAAGAAAGGAAGAAAGAAAGAAAGAAAGAAAGAAAGAAAGAGAAAAGAGGAAGGAGAGGAAAGAAAGAAAAGAAAAGGAAAAAAGAAGAAAAAATAGAAAAAGAAAGGAATGAAACGGGGGGGGGGGGGGGTGAAAGAGAGGAGAGAAGGGGGAGGGATAAGAGCCTGAGAGAGAGAGAGAGAGAGAGAGAGGAGGGGTGGGAGTAAGAGAGAGGGGTTATTGGGTGGAGTCGTCTCGTCGAGGGAGCAAGAAAGAATTGCATAGATATGTTGCTGTGTCGGGTCAGCTGTGTCGGTATTCTCGTTCGATCACCTCAATAACAACTCACTTTTGCCATGTACTCAGTCTGCATATAGACAATTCCATAGTACTGAAACTGCACTGCTAAGAATAAAGAGTGATCTATTGATGGCTATGGATTCCCAGAAAGTCTCTCTTTTACTGTTATTAGATCTAAGTAGTGCATTCGACACCATAGATCATTCTTGCTTATTAGAAACTTTAAAGACCTGTTTTGGTATAGATGGTAGTGTTCTTGAATGGATAGAGTCGTATTTGGCGAATAGATATCAGAAGGTCAAAATAGACGATGTGATCTCTGATGATTTGCCAGTGCCTTTCGGAGTTCCACAAGGTTCTCGGCTGGGTCCTTTGTTATTTACTCTGTACACTGCTAATCTCATTTCAAATGTTCGAACAAATTTCCCCGAGATATCATGCCACTGCTATGCAGATGACACACAGCTGTACGTATCATTCAGACCTGATGAACATGCTAAAGAGCGATGTGTCTCACTCCTAGAAACATGTGTTGACTATGTACGTGGATGGATGTTGCAAAATAGGCTCATGCTTAATGATGGTAAAACTGAATTAATGATCATTGGCACACCTAAACAGACATCCAAAATCAACTTGAACAGTGTATCAATTGGAGACTCTGTAATAGAACCATCTGTTAGTGCAAGAAATCTTGGAGTACAGTTCGATTCGAATTTGAATATGAGAGAGCACATCACAAATGTCTGTAAATCAGCATACTACATGATCTATAATCTCAGACGTATTCGTAAATATTTAGATAAGGACATTACGAAAGACATTGTACATGCATGTATTACCAATAAGCTGGACTATTGTAATGGTCTACTGTATGGGATCCCTGACTCTCAAATAGTGAGATTGCAACGGGTTCAAAACACCTGTGCAAGGCTGATCTGTGGTTGTTCTAAATTCACACGGATCACCCCAATTTTGAGAAATCTACATTGGTTACCAGTACGCCAGAGAATAACATTCAAAATCTTGCTGATTGTATATAAAGCACTTCTTGGTCAAGCTCCCACTTATATCAAAGAACTGTTGAATTTCAAACCTAATCAACACAATCGCAACTTGCGCAGTTCCCGAGATACTTTGTTGCTACAGATCCAATCTATCAAAACAAAAATAACGCTAGGTGATCGAGCATTTGCTTGTGCAGCCCCAAAACTCTGGAATAACTTGCCATTTGAAGTCAGGAAATCACCATCTGTAAACGTCTTTAAGTCAAAACTGAAAACACTTCTTTTTAATTAACTGTACCGTAAATCTAAGCATATCAGGAGCTCTTGTAGCGCAGTAGAATATATACCTAATGTTGGATAGTTTCTGCGCTTTATAAATGTACTATTATTATCCTTGTGTAGTATATCAATGCAGAAGTTTGAACCCTGTGAGATGTTTGTCAGTAATCATTGGCCTCTATGCCCCCCCCCCCCCCCACTGAAAAAGGTCTAACAACATATTATTGATCTTAAATTTAATTCAAACAATATTTATATGAATTAAGTTTTAAGATTAAAATCAGGAAGTGAACACCAAGAACTACATGATGATCAATTGTAAATTTGGAGTGCATTTTTTTGCTTGTATTAAGGTTCTCTTGGTGGCTGTATCGAGTCGCCACAATGGCTCAGACGGGGGTTCTCCTACTCACTGCTCCGTTAAATCATCTCCGTCAGCACATCCAGGTTATCCTCTCTAGTGCAGCTAAGAGCATACGACGGGTCCTCTATGTCCAGATCCAGCCTGGCCTGGACCTGGCAAAGACTGGTGCTTGCTTGCCGTTCCCAGTTTCGAGTGAGCTTGCCAGCTTCATCACACAGGTTTACTCCTACTCTGGGAACTCGCACCATTCTCTCGATGTCAGGATTCTTCTGAGTAATATCACATGCAACTTGGCCATTCCTTCCACAGGTGAATGATCAATAGAGTGGTGAAGTGTGACATCATCGAAAAACTGTTTTTAGAATTTCTCAATTTGAACTTCATTTTCCGAAAAAGCATCAATAATACCAATTGAATATGTTAAGTATTGGCTGAGATATGACCATCTGAATAAATAGATTCCCTATACTAGGGGCTCCGTGTTATTTTGCTCTGGTTCATAACATTGCGAACCAGAGCAAAATAACAGTGAGTTCCTATAGGAAATCTATTTATTCAGATGGTCATTTCTCAGCCAATACTTAACATATAATTGGTTTTTGACATTTGGACATTATTTTTAATGCTCTTTCGGCATTTTTTATGATGTCACAGCTTCGGTACTCTACACTGACATGTTCAATGAATAATATAATCCCTGTATTGGCTAATATCACAGGTTTGTGCCAAAGTTTATTTGAGGGAGGGCATATTGTTTGTGAGTCATAATTTTTGCTTGCCAGACAAAAGCTTCTTTATTTGCTTTACTGGGCACTGATTTAACACTTGCTTCCTAATTGATTGCTTTAAAAATGTACATCTATTTTTTTTCTCTAAATAAACTTTTCTGTCCACATATCTTTATAAGGTTGAATAAGGGTTTGGACATCTTCAACATAAACATTATACATGTACATAAAGCTGAGGAAAAACACATTATGGAAATGTAAAAAAGTGTAAAATTATATCTTGTGACCTTGTCCAGGATTTTTTGTGTGTGACACGTCTCATTTATTCATAAACAGTTCCAAGCTGTCCCCAGCTCCTCAGCTCCTCCCCTCAGCTGGTGATGACAGACAGTCTGCTGCCCTCAGATCAGATCCTGAGCCATCTCTCCCGGTGGATCGTCATCCAGCCCGAACCAAGGGTAGAGAAACTCTTCACCACACCTGCCACAGATGAAACAAAGTCTAACACAGCAGGATCAACTGCAAGAGCGGCAGCATCCAAAGGAACAGAATCAACGCTAGGTCAAGGAGACGGGGTCTTGAAGACATACAGACATGTTTGTCTTGGAGGAACCTTCGACAGGCTGCATGCAGGGCACAAGATACTGCTGTCAGATTCAGCGTTGAGAGCAACGGAGAAGATCACTGTGGGTGTCACTGATGGTCCCATGCTTGAAAGTAAGTAATGTTGCTTTTTTTCGCAGTACTTGCACATGTTTAATAAAGAGAACATTTTTTGCTGTCATAAATTGTCACTTTACTTACCCATATACTTTGCTGTATGGTACTATGTACATTGGGAATATAATTTCATCGGCCAAATGCTAGAGAATAAATGACATTAGCGACAATGTGATGAAAATCAATTTAGATTTTTATCCAAGGATGAATGATGATTGAACACAAATTTAGCGCCATGGACATTTACAGAGAGATTATAGCGCCAAACAGTGACAAGAATAGAAGTGCAGTTGTGGCATAAGATGGCATGCACTTCAGATCAACTTCATTACTTAAGGTTTATAAGGAAAGGCTCATCTTTATTATCCATTTAACAATGAAAATTCATTGTGTTACATGGTAATCAGGTAATCGGCAATGAGCAGCCTACATTTGAAATCCCTCTTGTAAGTTGTAGTAAAAAAAAAATAGCCTCTACTAGATAGTTAACTATTAATTGCCTTGAAAACGAGTGATTTTCTACTGATCGTAATATCATGAATCAAACTTTTAGCAGATTTCATCAAAAAGTAAAAGTTATTCACAAATGACACATCTTTGTTTTAATCTTAGATAAGACTTTGATGGAGCTGATCCTGCCTCTCGCAGAGCGCTTGGAAGGCGTCACTCAGTTCATCCAGGACGTAAAGCCCTGCCTCCTGCACAGCGAAGCAGTCGTACCCATCACAGATCCGTTTGGACCAAGTATTGTGGTTCCTGATATAGATTGTATCGTCGTCAGCGAGGAGACCAGGAAAGGAGGTGACAGCGTCAACAAGCGGAGGCTTGAAAAGGTAGGATTCTTTTCTGTATTTTCATCCTTGAAGTGAAATTGGTAAATTTCTGGAGTGTATCAAAAGGATACACAGTTTGCTTTATTGACTGCCCTAACCTTGCCCTTTTAGGTTTTGTTCTTTTGGGAATAATTTTATTTTTATCTGTGTAAAATTTGTCAACCAGAGCAACAATATGACTTATATAACGTTCATGAAAAGCGAACAGGGAGATGTATGCAGGCAGAAAGGCAAATGTTTTGTCTGATGCGGATTTAAACAAAAAAGAACAATCCTACATGTATATAGAATGATAGAATAGAGCTGTTTGTATAGAATCCAACAGATTACATAAAATACTGATAAGACAGAAAAGATATTCAACTGATATAATTTTCATACCTGGTGTATTTCAAATCAATAATTTGCTTGATGTTAGGATATAAATCCACACTCTCTTTTGAAAGCATTTTCCATGAGATGACTGAATGTTTACCTCATTTCATGTCTGCAATACAATGTTGTCTCGCCTTCATTTCAGAATATGACGGAGCTTTCTGTCCATTCAATAGACATCGTACCTGATCAGAACCATGCTCAACATGAGGAAGCTAAAGTCAGTTCATCTTCCACAAGAGCTAGACTTCTGGGGAAGCTACTACAAACACCCAAGGTTTGTTATCTATTTTCTCATCTAATTCATCCATGATAAAAGAGCTATACCAGGCAAATATCATTATTATTTAAATATTCTGAAACCAATATGTATATTAAATACATTAAAGCATAATGATAATACATTCATAAAATGCATTGTGTATATGTAAATAAATAATCATATGCATGTAGGCAAACATATAAAAAATTGTAAAACGTTAGTGTGATTCATTTTATGTTCTGTGTGCATTGTAATTGCAAAATTACTGTACCTTGGAAACAGAACTTCTGTGTATTACCATGGATCAAGAAAGATGAAACAAAATGAAATAGGATGGAGGAGATGGAGAGGAAGGAGGATTGAGAAGAGCGGAAGGAGAAGGAAGAGGGGAGGGGGGGGGGGGTGGGTAGGGTTAGGGAATGAGGAGGAGGGCGAGGTAAAATGCAAAGAGAAGGAGAGGAATGAAGAAGATGGGGAAGAATTGAAAAACAGAAAGTAATGAGAAAAATTAAAATCAAGTAGAATGAGAAGAAAAAAAAAAGAAAAAAAAGAGTATGCTATTCTGCTACTCCATCTACTGCCGACAGATAATGCTACATATCATATGTGACATTATCCATTGTGGCCATTTTACAGAGTAATTGCATATGATATGCAATTATTCTGTAAAATGGCGACTAACTGAAATGCCTAATGGGTTTACAGGTGTTAAATTGTAATGTGCCTCTAGCACAAATACTGTAGAAAGCAATATATGCAGGAATAAAAAAAGTGCTTTGGAGAAAAGTTAATCATCATTACTCAAAGAATAGCAAGAGCAATCTTTAATCCTATCCTCGTCACCTTACAGATAGTAGGAGAGAAACCAACCCCCTACATCATCGGCCTGACAGGTGGAATAGCCAGCGGGAAGTCATCGGTATGTAGAAGGCTTGAAGGGTTAGGTGCTGCTATCATAGACTGTGATAAGCTAGGTCATAGGGCGTACGAACCGGGCACGCTGGCACATCAACAGATCATTGAAGAGTTTGGACAAGGTAAAACTTCTTCTTCTTCTTCAAAGGAAAGTGCTGCTTCAAGGCCTTGAAGATTGCACAGATCCTTGCTTAGTCCCTTGCACCAGGCAGTTATTGAATTACACCAGGTCTTTTTTCATCCTCTGTTTTTTATTTATTGTCTGGGACACATGGCAGCCATATATAGATATACAAAAAGAAATAGAAATTCAAATATTTTCGCTTCAAAATAGAGTGATTATTCATTTATCCAATGAAATCCATTTGATGCTTTATTTTATCATTGTGTCTTCTTGTGGATATTATATACATATACAGGGTGTATCATAATAAAGGATATTGAAGTTTAATGACGATTTATATGAAAACTACTGATTTCATAATCAAGCACTTATGTCTGTTGTAAAGGACAGAATGTCCTCTTTTTAATGACACCCCAATCATACTTCTACTGTCACAGTTGACTGAATAACAAAGCATTGCTGTCCACCATGTGAAAGGTGCACTGTGCCAAGTTTGATAACATTTCCTTCTTAGACACATAATCCACTCATTGTTCAGCATTTCAATATGTCTGGGCTGACACAAGCACTAATCTTTGAATGCTAACTTGTCACAGTGCACCTTTCACATGGTGGACAGCAATGCTTTGTTATTCAGTCAACTGTGACAGTAGAAGTATGATTGGGGTGTCATTAAAAAGAGGACATTCTGTCCTTTACAACAGACATAAGTGCTTGATTATGAAATCAGTAGTTTCCATATAAATCGTCATTAAACTTCAATATCCTTTATTATGATACACCCTGTATATATATATATATTTCACATTTATACTTTTATTTGATTCTTGTTCGTCTACTTTTATTTGTATCATATATGTGATCTATTGCTTTGTCATCATATCTCAGGGTAATATATGGTTCCAGATTTGTTCCTTTCATAGTTAGGTAGTGTAAAGCTGAATTGTTTTCTCTTGGATTCATAAGATTTTTTTTTTCTCTCTCTAAAACCAATTTTCAGATGTTCTTGGTGAAGATGAGAGGATAAACAGAGCAGTACTTGGACCCAAAGTGTTCTCTAATCCAGCAAGACTGCAGGCCCTTAACAAGATAGTCTGGCCCTCAATCCAAAGGCTGGCTCAATCCCAGATTGATGAATACACTACACAAGGTAAGAAGGGCTTAAGGTCATGCTAGGACCCAAAGTGTTCTCTAATCCAGCTAGACTGCAGGCCTTTAACAAGATAGTCTGGCCCTCAATCCAAAAACTAGCTCAATCTCAGATTGATGAATACACTACACAGGGTAAGAACCGCTTACAGTCGTACAACCTTTGCTACGGTGACAAGTGCTCTGCGGTCGAAATACTATAGTAACTGAATTCTCAACTTCGACCCTAGACCATACATTATACCTAACCCATAACCCTATTCCTAACCAAAGCCCATTTGCAACTCTATCTTTTACCTATAATTGTTGACAAAATAAAGCCTGGAGTTGCTGAAGCATATGTCAAAGCAGCCTCTGTACTATTTGACTAGTTTATTTTGAGGATCTTGTGTTTTATTTAACTCTGCTTGAAACTGTATCCCTAGACTGTCGAATATACATACAGTGTGGATAATATTATTACACTTTATACACATCACATATATGGTTTTTCAATATTTCCCATGTTACTGCAGGTAAAACAATCTGCATTCTAGATGCTGCTGTTCTATTGGAAGCCAACTGGGATCAGTTCACCCATGAAGTATGGACGTGCATTATTCCAAAGAAAGAGGTATAGTTTTCACATAATATCTCAATTTGTATTCAGAGAGAGAGGAAAAAGGAGAGAGAGAGAGGGAGAGAGAAAGAGAGAGAGGGAGAAAGAGAGAGAGAGGGGGGGAAAGAGAAAGAGAGAGAGAGAGAGAGAGAGAGAGAGAGAGAGAGAGAGAGAGAGCAAAAGAGAGATTCACTTTACTATGTCTACAGGGGTTATAAATCAGGTAGTTCAGAATGGGCAAGGTCATGAATTTGTTTGAACAATTCTTTCTTAGTGCATTTACATCAGTTGGTCCAAGACAAATTCAGCTGCCTCAGATAACATTTAGTATAGCTGGACTAGTCATTTCTTTTAGTAAAAGTTATCTTGAGTTCTGGAAATGGAAATGGATTTCAGGAACGTCATTCTGTATTGTTGCTATGTCTGGCAGGCAGTACAGCGGATCGTGGAGAGGGATGGTCTGGTAGAGGATCGAGCTCTGCAGAGGATTGAATCCCAGATGACCAACGAGGAGAGGGTTGCTAGGAGTAATATGGTTCTATGTACTAATGTTGCTATGTTATTGTTGCTATGTCTGGCAGGCAGTACAGAGGATCGTGGAGAGGGATGGTCTGGTAGAGGAGCGGGCTCTGCAGAGGATTGAATCCCAGATGACCAACGAGGAGAGGGTTGCTAGGAATAATGTGGTTCTATGTACTAATGTTGCTATGTGATTGTTGCTATGTCTGGCAGGCAGTACAGAGGATCGTGGAGAGGGATGGTCTGGTAGAGGATCGAGCTCTGCAGAGGATTGAATCCCAGATGACCAACGAGGAGAGGGTTGCTAGGAGTAATGTGGTTCTATGTACTATATGGGAACCAGAAATCACACAGAAACAGGTATGTTGACCAGCAAGTAATAGAACAACAGTTACTCCTGCGAGAACTGCTTTGCCATAATTTCCTACCCTAACAGTGTTCTCAACTTTAACCCAGGACCCAACACTAGACCTGACCTAAAACTCTTATTGCAACCCTGACACTAACCCTATATTTTGATGTAATAAAGCGTGGAGCAATCATCATCAATGGTCGCTGGAGCAATAGACCAGTTCACGGTTAGCACATTACTGCAATGACCCCGAATATCCACAGATCTTCAAAACATGAAGAGGTCCCACTTTGTACATTTTGAAATAATCAGTCCTACAGCGATGGAGGTGCTATATAAATAGCCTTTGTTTCCCCTTTTCAAGAATACTTCCACCTGTGTATCATGGAGTGCACTGCTTGTGCATTAATGAATAATTAATACATAACTTTCATGAGCACGTATCCAGTATTTTGTCTCCGTGTATTTCACAATTTGTTCTGCAATGACCTTTATCTGCTGATGCTCAGACTGCAACTATGAGCTAGCTTATTGTCAGAGCACCTGGGGGAGTGTTTCACAAAGACTAAGATCGACTTTAAGTTGGACTGATGCCATTGTTTGCTCTCACCATTATGATATTTAGATAATATTATTTCCTTCAATAATGAATTATCAAATAAATGTAAATTCTGTTAATTTGTGATCATGATTTGTACGGCCCTTGAGAGACGATTGGTAAATGGTGAGAGCAAACAGTGGCATGAATGGCCTGCCTTAGTTAAGTCCAACTTAAAGTCGATCTTAGTCTTTATGAAACACTCCCCAGATCTTCTATATACTAGAACGGTTTGATGTAGGCTTTAGTCTTTTATCATCTGTTGAGAACCAGGAGGGCATTATTCAATTTGTATCCCTTAACATTGAGGTATTCCATGATTCTGTAAGGTGAAGGCAGGGCACAATAACAACTAGACGGAACTTTGACTGTGCACATTCGCAAATGATGCCTCCACCATAGAGCGATTTTACAAACCAAAACAGAGCAAACTTCAAATTTAAGTGTAATCCATTAACAGGTTCTCTGCGAGATACATACATGACCTAAGTTTGGCAGGAATCCATTAATCGGTTCTTGGGATAATGCGATCACAAGCTATTTTTCATACATAATGAGCACTGAGACCTTTGACCTTTGACGTCAAGACCCCAAAATCTAATCAATTCATCGGTTCTACAAGATACATACATGACCTAAGTTTGGCAGGAATCCATCACGAGAATGGGACGTATGTACCGACGGACGGACAACCCAAAAACATAACACCTCCTGCAACTTCGTAACAGAGGTATACAAATTAAATAATCTCAGAAAACCCAAATGAAATTATTATTTTGTACATTGCCAGATTTTTTTTTTTTTTTTTTTTTGGGGGGGACACACAACTGTGCGTTCTCTGTCTTTCCTACACCCAATCTTACCGTTGTTCAACGCCAAGATATAATGTTAGGCTATGTTTGTTCTTTCAGGTTGAGAAGGCGTGGTCGGGTCTCCAGGGGCGTCTCCAGAACCTGGGTAAACCTGAACAACCCAAGCTATAAAAGTAGACAGTGATCCAGCACCTTCAGTTGAGATGATGGACGGTTCTTCAAAGTGATGGTCAGATCTGAGAGTAATGTTTCAAAACCAAAGATGCGGATGGCTATAAGGGTATTAATTCATTTGAATTTAGGTAGGATCAAAGTTTGAGTTGAGTACTTGTCATGCAAATACATTGTGAATGAAATTGTCTGGAAGAAGCAATTTTGTAAAGGTTGATTATGTAGTGCATAAGAAGTGGTATATACTGTGAGGTGTCGGAATGATCAAAGTGACATTGATGTAATCTTGCTAAAAATCACATGCTATGCACACAGAAATGGATATATGGGACTACACATTGATGTGGCATGGGAGTTTGGTCCAAACCCTTTTTAAAAAAATATATTCCTTGTCATATTTCAAATATGAGAGGATAGGAAGGGTAATCCTTTGTAGGGGATGTTTGTTTAGGATGTTCTTCCAACTGATGTACAGATAACGAGAAAGCCCACAAATTATTTTCCATCTGACATCAGAATTTAACCTTCTCAGTGACAACCTTCTGCCTCTCAGGAGATGATCTATCATTTGAGTTCTGATATGAAAAATAATTCACCTTTGACAGAAAGAAAGATAAAACCATTCAGAGGTGCCATCACATTGCCTACTAGTCCCAGGTATGCATAACTGTGTTTGTGATTATCAATGAATATTATTTTTCTGCAATATTTCCTAATCTAGTTATGATTTTAATTATCCCAATATCCAGATGCATTGAGAAATTACTCCTACTCTTGGTATATTTTCTGTAGAATATTTTTTTCTCAAAAAGAAACTGCACTGCCAGTACTCTAAATGAATGTGTAAATATGTTGAAATTATTATATGGTGCTTTAAACAATTCATGCAAATTTTATAAAGCTGCATTTAAAACAAATGCAATAAGTGTTGGATAATGAATGTGACGGGGAATAAAATCATTGCACTACTGAACGCATTGACATTTATAAAAAGATGTATGTTATACAAAGAATGGTTGGTGTATACATGTATTAACTCAATTTATAGAAATGTATGTATATTTATGGTGATGGAAATACTACTGACTGTACTGTGCCTTAACTGCTGTATAGTGTATGACATTCAAATTACAAACATTAGTTGTTGCTAGGTAAAACAAACATTAAGACTTGCCCTACCCAACAACAGGTAATATATGCATTGTGCATTCTGACTATTGAAACACTGTTATTTGTAACAGGTGAATGAAATAATTTGTATCGAGGCACTTTAGTAAAAAATCTGGTTACATTACGAAAATGGCCTATTGCTATGCTGTCATCATCCTACAATAAACTAATTCTCAACTTCAACCTTGGAATAAACACCACACCTAACCCTAGACCTGTATCTTCTATAAACCAAAGCCCTGAGCATTCGTAGCTGGAGCATATGTCAGAGCAATCCCTTAACTCATATTAAGATTTTAAAGAATTTCAGCTGCATTTCAGTGGCGAAAAAAAAAAAATCACAATTTGTATGAACAAAAATGATTTCGAACTTCTCACTATACACACATTGCCAATTAAATGGAATTTCATACTTATTTTAAGTTTAAAATCACTGGTATCAACCCTCATTGTAACACAAAAAAAGTAGACACAGGGTATGTAGAAACTTCTGGTTTGTCTTCTCATGCCCTTGATATTTTTCTTTAGGGTTGTGAATCAGAAGATTTGTTGTCAATACACAAAATGTAAGCAATTGCTCTGATTGTGTTGAGACTGGTGGAAGTAATTATTGTATATTCAATGATGCAATGATATTCATGTTGTCTGTTATGGATGGAGAGATGAATTAATTAGGGCCAAACTGACAAGTCAGTTATACTCTAGTACTGGTGGTGGTTGTTTGTACTTTGTTATTTTTGTATTGTTATCCATAAATAATCACTATTAGAAAGTGTTACATACTGATACCTGCAAATTGATTTTTTTTTATTCAAAATGACCTGTGCAAGATTGCAAATATCTGGACCCTATTTCATAAGCTTGTTATCAATACCTGTTATAAGTTACTGAAATCGTGGCATTTGATTGGCTGAGAGCAAATTTGTCATAGATATTTAGCATTTGTTATTGATAACAAGTTTTATGGAACAGGGCCTTGATGCACAGTGGAATGTGTTTTTTAAACGAGACAAAGCAATGAAAAGCTGTCAATCGAATAATTATTATCGTACCTAATACCTATGCATTCCTAATAATTTACGTACTTGTAGTCTGTTAGTGTTGGGAATTGTTCAACTTCGTACTACACTGTACTGTATGTCAGGCAAATATGCTATACATCTCCAACTATTTTTCGCTCCTTCACTTTGTCTTAAGAATACAAAGTTCTCTTCTCATTCTTTGCATTTACCCCCATTACCAAGTCCCTCAGAGAGGACTTACTGCCATTGGTCCCCTGGTTACTTACTTAAATGTATACATGCTTTCTTAGCAGTCGGGTAAAACAATCATCATCATCGTCATCTTTATTCTGCATTTCGTATTTTGTCCTCTGTGAGAACAAAATGCATCTTTTATGAAATTCAGGTTTTTTTTCTTTTAAGACAGCACAAGTATCGCCGCAGCACAATGTAATTCATTGCCTTTCATTTTATCTGTCATGATATTGATAATGGTTTTTCAAAAAAATGTGCAATATGATTTCAACAACTTGATAATCCATTTCAGATGTAATCTGCTTCAAAACAAGGTAAACTTTCACCTTTATGTTTCCTGCTGGTCTATTTTGATTTGCGTTGATGAACACTGAAAGAATACCAAATTCAGCCCACATTGTATAATACTTCATGTCTCTGATTTGTCAGTATTATACAGAGTTAGAAAACAGTAATCAATATATTGTTATCAAATCGACATGGCTAAATAAATTTACCTTTAACTTTGTCATTGTAGAAGGGACATTATAATAAAATAAATGTGAATCTTGGTGTCATTCAAGGCCTGGTACAAACATTATTGTAGTATTCATAAATTTGGAATTTTTGTAAAAGTTTGAATTTTGTTCTCAAAGAACAAAGTTAAATTTATGTAATTTGACATTGCATTTTTATTAGATAAAAATTATTGTGTTAAAATGATTAAATAAAATATATATATATATATATAATACTGTTTTATATGTTTGTGTTTGTGTACTTTCTCGATTTTCTCTTTACCCTTTCCTCTGCATATTTAATTAATTTAGTACTTGTACTTAAACATAAACATAAACATAAACATATAGACAAACTAATAGTTCAATCACGTTTTTATGTTTATTCTCAAACATTTTCTCTCAAGCCACATACATTTAATAAACTCAAGGAAAATTATTTTCATGTTACGATACAGCCTGCTCGTCATACAGTTTTTTTCAGTCTTGAAAAATCTTATATATTGTTTGTAAAAAAAGAACACATCCATCAAGTCACTTTTGCCTAGCGTTTTTATTTGCAGTTATGTGATACTGAAACAGAATTTGACAAATATATCATAAAGCTCAATCTCAGTAGGAAGTGCCTTGCTGTCTAGCCAATTGTTTTACCCAAGAGAGAGCATTCTTGATCGCAGATAAGTTTATTTTGGGGAAAATGTGCTTTCATTATTGTTCAAAGCGCCATCTTATTTTGATATATTTTGATAATTTTGTTTTGAAATTGACGATGACAGTCTTGGATTATGACAACTATAAATAATAATATTGTCATAACAGAAGAAAAAATAAAAGAAAGTACTAGGAATTGTTATCAATTCGAGATGAAAGTTATTTTTTACATCGTCGTCTAGTATAATCATAGAGAATTTTGATTCATTACGGCCAAGTCTGCCACTGAAGTTATTTGTTTAAATAATCGTCATCTGGAGAGTCTTGATGGGCATTGAGCTAAATTATTTGTCGTAAAATTTGGCATGTGCGTTTACTCTTTAAATTGAGCTTTTCAATCACGTTTAACACTATCATATTTTTAATCGAATCATTACCATCCCGTATGTATTTGAGTAATCTTTAGATCATCCTTTTTCCCCTTGAGAGTTCTTGGATGCATCATGCTCTATCCTCTCACTTAAAAGAAATGATGTTTTATCCGTTTTGTAAATAAAAAAGCTTTGTATCATCATCATGTTTCCTTTCATGGAGAGGATATTTTTCTTAATCCTTGTTATCCTGGTGTCACTGAGAGTGTTTTTAATGATGGGTGCCGAGATCGGTCTCCGTGCCGTACTCTGGTAGATTAGTTCCCCGATGACGATAAAAACCTTTCATGACATGCTCGATGCGGGCGTGCTCGCGTGTCGTCTTCTCTAACGGAGGGCGATGACCGTAGGCTGATGAGGAAAGAGCTGGGACGGCTTTGGACGATTCCTAAGAAAAAGGATTAGATGAAGATAGTTGTCGGTTTTATATCAGTTGACAAAGAATAATGATATTATTGATATGTTGGGAAAGAATAAATGAATGCAATCTTAACTTTGGTCATCATTGACCGACGGCAATCATCTTCTTTAATGGTAGACCGGCTGGCCTAAGCATGTCATTAATAAGATCATAACCAATGTCATCTTTATTGTTGTAGGTAGAAACACAATAATCGTAATCCTCATTATCGACATCATTGTCAACATCACCTTTAATCATTAATGTTGTCATCATCATTACCACCATCAACATCATAATCATCATCATCATCATCATCATCATCATCATCACCACCACCATCATCATCACCACGAACACTACCGTCCTCATCGCCGTCATCGTCAGTTCGTCACCATCACTACCTTGCAACCTTTATCATCACCATCTTCATCATCGTAACCACCACCACCACCATCACCACTACCATCATCACCACTTACCTCCTCATAAACTTTGAGCCCCCGTGTGTGTTCGCGATCATCCCGGTGTAACTTATTCTGGTAGCCATGTTTGACGTGAAAGAGTCGGTCATAAGTCGAGTTCGTCTCGTGCTGATGAAAAGGAAAGAATGAACAAAAGGTTATTACTGACGATAAACAAGAGTTGCTGATAAATGAAGACACACTAACTCGTCTAGATCAACGCTGTCGAAATCGCATGTGTTTAATTTTTTTGGGTCTACTTCTGTATAAATACATTACTGCACCCTGATAATTCTGAAAGAATTATTAATAATTTCACAATCTTCACCTCAACTCGAGGGTCTCTTTGAGATTTTAATGATGATCTTACTGATTTTGAACGACAGATGCATCTGATATTTTAATGATATGCTGTATTTTCTTATCAAAACAAATTGTTCGTTCACTAAGCTAAGGGTTTGGAGCCTAAAACTTGATTTTCGGACAAGAGACTATAAACAGCACCCCTCCCTTGAAATTAGTAAGCGATCATGTTCAGATCCCGGCCCCTCCCAATCAGTGTTAATTAGGGTACGCGTATGCATGTTCCCTCCCTTTGAAAGCACCCCACCTATCTCTGGTGTGTAAAGTCAATACGGGCCGGATTTTTGAAAGCACCCCCTATCTCCGGTGTCTTTAAGTCAATACGGGCCGGACTTTGTTGCGTGAAAAGTAACCCCTATACCGGAGATTTTGGAAACACAAATGCGGTCCCTCCGACCCCGGAGTGTTGGGGGGGGGGGGGGGGGGGGGTTGGGCCGGGGTTTCTGATTATGATATTAATTTAAGTGGTGACAGTTATCAATTAGGCCTACGTGGAACATAAAGTTTATCAAAACCTTTTTGTTATTGTTGAAGTAAATGATTTCCTTCATCTCTCCTGTTTCCTGGGATGTTTGCTGGTTCTCGCTCTCTTTGTATATCCCAGATAGACCACCCTTGGCCGCTAGATGACGCTTCCTGATTCGCTGCTCCCTCTGTAACGACGATGAATTCAAAATAGATCTTAGACATGGCTACGTCGTTTTCATGTTTTTTGTTTTTGTTTCTTGAAAGCCCCATTGCACTACTTTTAGCTACTTAATTGCGCCATATAGCAAACAATGCCTAATCGGTGACCATTGGTCCCCCATGGTACCCCTTTTTCTTAAGTTAATTGAGAGATGATTTGATGACGCCTTAGCAATTTTAAAACTTTCATTTGATATCTTACATAATTTTATACGAACAAGTGAACGAATAACAAAAAAAAAAAAGAAAAAGAAAAACAAATGCCGGCTCCATCGCTTTCTTAAGCCGCCTTTTTGTGAACGTAAAAAGAGATAGAATTGATATAGAGAGAAACGAGAGAAAATGAGAGAAGAGGATACATCTTCAAAGAAGGTAAAGAATAATGAATGATGACTCACCCCAACAATTTCGACCCAGAGGAGTTTTTGTTGCTGGGGGGTTAGATGGCTGAGTCCATAGTTTGACATACCCTTCCCTTCTCCGGGGTAGGCCATCTTGACAAATTGCTAATTCGACCCCTGTTTCAACCAGTAAATGTTATAATGCGATGCTTTTTGAGCCGCTGCTGCCGTCTGTGTTTATTGACGAGTCAAGTTGATAAATACCGTGTTTACACAGTGATCCGCATCGAGGGTTGAACCCGGGTTGAAGCCGCGAGGGGATTCATGAAGCCGGGTTGAAGCCTGCAGTTTTATGTGTGTAAACGGGATCCCAGTGAGGATTGAAGCCGGGTTGAAGCCGCCCCTTGAATCCACCAGAATTGCAGGTCTCAACCCACCTCGTGGCTTCAACCCTGCAACTTTATGTCGTGTAAACGGGATCTGATCCGCCTCGAGGGTTGAAGCCATGTGGGCCGACGTGAGCAGCCAATGAAAATGGTAGTACTGACAATGACAATGCATGACAATGACAATTTATTCTCAATTTATTCTCAATTTTCAATTTATTTATACTGATATGCGCGCATAGCTTTCCTTTAAGCGCAATAGGCCGCGCGTATATGTTACTGGACCCCCAGCTGAAGCTGAAGCTGACGAAGGTCAAATTCCCTGTATTGTGACGTCATTGCGATCCGTCTCGAGGGTTGAAGCCGCCTTTTTTTTCTTCTGCTGTGTAAACACGATCACATTTGCGCGCTTTAGTGGCTTCAACCCCTTCGTGGCTTCAACCCGGCTTTTTATTTATTTATTTATTTCTAATATTTTGACAGGGTAGCCCATTCACCAACAAGTGGTGGTCTTCCATGGGGCCCAACATATTTACATCGTTTATAACATTTATACAGAACAGTTACAAAAATAATACTCGTTTGCAAAATAAATATAATCATTAACCTAGTAAACAGTAATGTCAATAGGAAAATATTAATTAAGTCGCAATTATGTGAATAAGTCATGTAAATATTACAGAACATGCACGTAGTGTATGTACGGCTGAACCATTCACAAATTACAACTTTGTTTAAACAATCTCTTAAATGAATTGACAGAGGAAGCCTCTGTCAATTCGAGGCGGATCACTGTGTAAACACGGTATATGTTTATCTCTGGTATAAATCCATGTTACGCGGGTGACCACTTACGTCACAATGCAGTGCGCGAAATACACTTGCCGCGCCTGGCATCGTCTTTGTTGCGTCACATGTTTATTGCGCTTGCGCTATCTGTGTGCCACCTTCAAGTTCACATAAAATGTTTAGTCTATATATCTCGGCTAGATCTACATCTAGAGATCTACGTAACATGAACAATAATAAAAGAAGAAGAAGAAGGAGAAGATGAAGAAGGAATGATAACGTCATCATTGCTCAGAATTTGAGAAACATCATGCCGGCGTAATACATAACAGAGCCTTTTGTGGCGACATTTTTCAAAAAGCGACTCAAATACTTAATATCTTGTACTTAATATCATTTGTATCATCAGTTTGATGTTGTTATTATTATTATTATCTTTAATAAGTAGTTCTTTTAATTTTCTTATCTGTCTGTAAATATTACTATTTTAACTTATTAATGTTATACATGTCTGTAAGGGACCCCACTGGAAATAAGCTCTCGAGCTTTCGTGGGTTATCCTGTTCAAGCTGACTTATTTTTGACCTGTTATTATTGTGTATTGTTGTATGTTGGAAGCTTGTCGAATAAAAATCAATCAATCAATCAATCAGGTGTCTTGATAACATTTCACCGATTGATTTATCGCTTAAACGCTTGAAATACAAAAAAAAAAAAGTCATTTTGCAAAGTGATTTACATTCGTATCTTCGGAAGATGCCTCAAACTTGTTAATGTTTTCTATTTCAAGCATGCCGAATATTATGGGATTTGCTATATTGAGCGAAATTAAGTTATGATTTTATGTTTTCTTTCGTAATAATTATAATGAATATCTTCCTATATTCTATCAGAGTCTCTTTTCCCTTTCCTCGGGGGGGGGGGGGGGGGGGGGGGGGGGTAGTGAGCACTATTTTTTTTTACCTCAAAAATATGACCCCCCCCCTTGAGCGCCAGGGAGGGGGGGGGGGGGGAGGCCCATCTCCAAAAAAGGTAAAATTAACGTTAAATAATGTAATGTTGTTATCAGTTTTGAAAAATCTTATATATTGTTTGTAAAAAAAAAACATCCAACAAGTTTCTTGAGCATAGTGCATTTATTTGCGGTTATGTGATACTGCAACAGAATTGGACAAATATATCATAAAGCTCAATCTCAGTAGGAAGTGCCTTGCTGTCTAGTCAATTGTTTTACCCAAGAGAGAGCATTCTTGATCGCAGATAAGTTTATTTTGGGGAAAATGTGCTTTCATTATTCAAAGCTCCGTCTCACTTTGAAAAACCATCGATAATTTGTTTTACAATAATTTGACGATGACAGTCTTGGATTATGACTACTATAAATAATAATATTGTCATAAAAGAAGTACTAGGAATTGTTATCAATTCGAGATGAAAGTTATTTTTTACATCGTCGTCTAGTATCTCATCTAGAATCTTGATTCATTACGTCTGCCTCTGAAGTTATTTTTTTTAAATAATCATCATCTGGCGAGTCTTATTGGTCATTAAGCAAAATTATTAGTCGTAAAATTTGGCATGTACAGCGAATACTCTTTAAATTTAGCCTTTAACGATATATTTTGAATCAAATCATTACCATCCCGTATGTATTTGAGTAATCTTTAGAATCACTGAAAACTGTGAAATGATGTGTTATCCATTTTGTCCATAAAAAAAACTTTGTATCATTATCATGCTTCCTTTCATGGAGAGGATATTTTTTTCAATCCCTGTTATCCTGGTGTCACTGAGAGTGTTTTTAATGATGGGTGCCGAGATCGGTCTCCGTGCCGTATTCTGGTAGATTAGTTCCCCGATGACGATAAAAACCTTTCATGACATGCTCGATGCGGGCGTGCTTGCGTGTCGTCTTCTCCAACGGAGGGCGATGACCGTAGGCTGATGAGGAGAGGGCTGGGACGGCTTTGGACGATTCCTATAACAAAGATAAGATGAAGACAGTAGTAGTAGGTTTTATACCAGTTGAGAAAAATTATTGAAATGATGGGAAAGAATAAATGAATGCAATCTAATTTTGACAGTTTATAGTATCTCACAAGAAACAAGTTGAGTTTCTCTTAATTTTGGTCATCATTGACCAAAATTGACGATAATTGTCTTCATTAACTGGGCTATCATTAAAATGGTAGACCTAAGCATGTCACTAACATCGCAACCAATGTCATCTTCATTGTTAGGTAGAAAGACAATAATCGTAATCCTCATTATCGATATGATCATCAATATAATATCTAAATCATTGATGTTATCATCATCATCATCACCATCGCCATCATCACCAAAATCATCATCATCGTCATCATCATCATCATCATTACCATCACCATAACCGTCATCACTATCATCATCATCGATCATCATCATCATCACCACCAACACTACCGTCCTCATCGCCGTCATCGTCAGTTCGTCACCATCACTATACCTTGCAACCATTCTTATCATTAATATCTTCATCATCGTTACCATCACCACCACCATCACCACTACCATCATCACCACTTACCTCCTCATAAACTTTAAGCCCCCGTGTGTGTTCGCGATCATCTCTGTGTAACTTATTCTGGTAGCCATGTTTGACGTGAAAGAGTCGGTCATAAGTCGAGTTCGACTCATGCTGATGAAAATTAAAGAATGAACAAAAGGTTAATTATTACTGACGATAAAACGATAAGAGTCTCAGTAAATTAAGACACACTAACTCTTTCAGATCAACACTGTCGAAATCGCATGTGTTGAATTATTTGTTTTAATACAGTGCTGCACCCCGATAATTCTGAAACGATTATTCACCTCAACTCGAGGGTCGCTGTGCGATTTTAATGATTATCTAACTGATTTTGAATGCTCGATCGATACATCTGATATTTTAATGGTATGCTGTATTATAACGCACACAATTTTCTTATCAAAACAAATTGTTCGTTCACTAAGCTAAGGATTTTGATCCAGGTACTTGATTTTCGGACAAGAGACTATAAACAGCACCCCTCCCTTGAAATTAGTAAGCGATCATGTTCAGATCCTGGCCCCCTCCCAATCAGTGTTATTTAGGGTACGTGTATGCATGTTCCCTCCCTTTGAAAGCACCCCTCCTACCTCTGGTGTGTAAAGTCAATACGGGCCGGATTTTTGAAAGCACCCCCTATTTCCGGTGTCTATAAGTCAATACGGGCCGGACTTTGTTGCGTGAAAAGTAACCCCTATACCGGAGATTTTGGGAACACAAATGCGGTCCCTCCGACCCCGGAGTGTTGGGGGGGGGGGGGGGTGGGCCGGGGTTTCTGATCATGATATTAATTTAAGTGGTGACAGTTATCAATTAGGCCTACGTGGAACATAAAGTTTATCAAAACCTTTTTGTTATTGTTGAAGTAAGTGATTTCCTTCATCTTTCCTGTTTTCTGGGATGTTTGCTGGTTCTCGCTCTCTTTGTATATCCCAGATAGACCACCCTTCACAGCTAGATGACACTTCTTGATTCGCTGCTCCCTCTGTTATGACGATCAAATCAAATTAGATCTTAGACATGGCTAGGTTGTTTCATGTTTTAATATTTGTAATCATACTTTTTTTAAAGAGTGCTAGTACTATGGTGTAGAATGTGTTTAAAGTCCATTTAAGGGACTCGTAACTTATATGAGGAAAATCCCAAAAGATTATTTCATAGAAACTATACCATTGACTTAAAATCAGTTTAGATTATAATATTTTAAAAGACGACCATCCCCTCTAGCTCGCACCCTCCCTCCCACCCCTTCCTTATCTTGTTAGTGTTGTGCCTGTCCTTTATTTGCTTCATTTGTCGTACCATGCCTTATCCATTTTTAAATTTAAATTTGATTTCTTACACATTTCATACAAAAAAGTGAACACAAAAAGCAAAAAAAAAAAAGAAGCAAAACAACAAAACAA